CAATGGCGACTCCAATAGGTTGCCACATGGATAGAAGCGCAACAAGAAAGCGGCGGTTGTGTGGCAGAAATTCAAGAGCAATTGTGGCGTCGATGGGAATGTTGCCTCCTAAACCTAGCGATGCGAGGAAGTAGATAGCACATATCGCACTATAGTTGAACTTGGGAGCAGCCTGGTTGAATATTAGGGAATGGAAGTTGATTTCGAGATCAGGAAGCGTACCAACAAGAGTCCAAAGATTGAGGTGATCAGGCAAGTCAAGTTAAAAGCCCATTTGCGACCAATGACATCTACGGCGAGGCCGAAGAAGAGTGCACCGACAGCCAAGCCTGCGTTTGCAATAGAAAATATGTTTCCTTGCTGCGCAGCAGGGACATCCATCTATGATTTACGTCAGGCGTATATCATTGAGTGCTTTTCAGATACTCACTTCTTGGTAAATGGAAGTGACGATCAAACCAACACCTTGAGCCCAAGCAAGATCAAGGAAGTAACCGAAACCGCAGAGAAACCAGATGCATATCTGGTATCTACCCATCCCAAACTTGTCTATTTCAACATTGATGAGTGCTGCTTTCTTTTCGAATACGTTGAGCGGGTTCGCAGCAGTGCCCTTGAGAATCGCAGCAAAGGATAGGTCTGTTTGATCGACACGCTCGACGTCATTGTAAATGGGAATTTCAACCTGGGGGTGGGATTTGGTCGCAACAATTTCCTCATCTTCGCTGGAATTTCCAGTCTTGCGCTCGGGAATCGACGTGTCGACCGGGAATTTATCGTCACCAGCGACGTGATCTAGTTTATTCTCGGGATGGTTGGCGTCCATGTTGGGTGTAGATATCAGAACCGGCTTTCAGAAGCTGGTCCTCAGGGACTTGCGTGTGGGATGGGCGAGGTCAAGTCGCCGCGTGAGTATGACAAGTTACAAGCTGGTACTGTGGGACAATGTGTTATATGAGTGGGGAAGTGCGTCCCTTCCGCGCCACGCTCGAGTTACTGGTGAAAACGGGTCTAAGCGGTGGATACTAGGATCCTGTTGATTGATGCAACTACCGTCCGTCCAACAGCATCAGGCTCCGAGGCGGTAGACATTTAGCGACAGAGAGCTTATTGGTTGCCATGTTATCATCCTGGCATACTGTATGACATCGTTGAGAAGCGGCACTAGGCCTTGTCCGTACGTTGGAGCTCGTCTCTCGGTCTGTCCGTGTCGCAGAAATCTCTGCCATGGCTAAAAAATGCCCTAGAGCTGTGTCATGGCAGATTTCTTGACCAAGCTAATATTTCCATGATAGCGTGATGGCGGAACGGGCGTAGTAGCGAACAATTGGAGCGCCCAGGCTAGCCGTCTCCGCTCAAGGCTGAGGGTTACGCAGTGCATGCCGTGAACCCGTCATTTCAGGGCACGCTTCTTCTCGCCTCCTCTCCACTACACATTGTTGCCATGGGGTATATTGGCTAGCTTTTGCATCGCGAGTCAATTGCCATGCCGATACCGAGATCTTGCCCCCAGCCCCCCACCTTGACAAGATTCACCGTTCATGAACATGCATGACCATACCGCTTCTAGTATAGCGGCAAGTCATGTACGTCATTCTGGGCTATTTGATTCCCTCTTCTCAATTCTACTGTACAATTGCCACCCTCTACCACGATGAACTTGTACTTTTTCTTTGACACGTCTGAGAGTTTCAGCCGCTTCTGCACGAGCAGCCCGTGTTGCTTCTCTTGCTTTTTTCCTTACTCTAAGATCACAATGGTCACATGCTGTCACCTAATACAACAGAAGAAACATTAAGCATGTCTTAACTCGAGTGTCAACCATCTCCTTTGGGACTTTCTCTCAAACTACTTGTCCAATCCGTACTCCTTGATCAACCTTTCGCTGGCAATCTGCCCAACCAGATATGCAGTCGCCTGCGTATGGTTATTTGTCGTAACTGGCGCAACACTCATATCCACCACTCTCAGACCTTCTACACCCCGTACTTTGAAATTTTTGTCTACTACCGCTTCTTTATCGTCATTTTTTCCCATCTTGCACGTACCAGCAGCATGCCACACCGTATTAGCGTTCTCTTTCGCGAACGCATCAATGGATTCATCCGACATTGACTCTGGCGCAAGGATTTTGCGTACAATGTACGGTGCAAGGGCGGTTGAGGTGGTAAGTTTATTCCATGTGTTTCGGACTGCTTCGCGGAACACACGGGCATCGTATGGGTGAGTAAGGTAGTTGAGCTTGATGGCAGGCTTATCGGCTGCATCTTTGGATCGCAAAGTCACACTCCCTCTCGACAGCGGATTCATGAGGAATGCAATGAAGCTCATATATGTGTTGCCTTCTGTGAGCTTCGTTCCAGGAGGCCACAGAGCCGAGTTTGCTATCAGCTCGTACGTCGGGACTTCGTCTTTTGAGAGAAATTCCTGGAAATCCTTGGGCAGTGCTTTGTACTCTTCAAACGTTTCTAGTTCTGGTAGTTTGAGAAACCCGCCCCATAGAGCTGAGTTGTGGATCGCCAAGGCGCCGGAATGATCCTTTTCCCAGGCCTTTTCTGCTTCGGCAACGATTTCGGGATTGCTCTCAAAGGCATACTTGTCGTTGACGCTTCCATTGACTTCGACACTTATAAAGGTCAACACATGATCATGGAGATTTTTGCCTACACCGGGCAAGTCCACTTTGACGTCGATTCCGAGGGCTTCGAGTTCGGACTTGGGCCCGATACCGTTGAGAAGGAGCAGCCGAGGTGAATCGATTGCCCCGGCACAAACGATGACTTCGTTTTTGGCGGTTGCTACTGTATATTAGCATCTTGCTGTTCTGATCTCATATCCAATTCCACATTTAGTCGAAGTCCGAAGAAGGGACCAAAACATACCTTCTCGTCCGTCTTCCGTCACAACCCCAACGACCTTCTTCCCTTCCCACAGCAATTTCGTCACCTTTGCGTCCGTCCAAATCTCAAGATTTTTTGGCGGATCAGTCAAATGGGCAGTCGCACTCGTACACCTCCCTTGCTTAGCATACGTGGCTGGGAAAATACTGATGCCTACTGGATCTCCAGAGTTTGGGTCCAAATTCAACTTCTCCCCCGCCTGCATCAGCGCCTCCATCTGTGGCTGGACAGCCGTCTCCAGAATGGGCGGCAGCCCAACATTTAACTTGCCCTTGGTCCCATGCTGGCCAGTTGAAGGGTCAGCAAGATGACGATACGTCTTTGAACCCGAGGAATCGAAATTCTCAATCTTCTCAAATGCTCTCTTTACGTTATCCCACTTGAAAGTGCCTTCTCCATCTTCTCCGTCATCATTGACAAGCTGATCCCACCGCTCATAATCCCTCTTACTACCATATAGGTATACTGCGAAATTCACCATACTGCACCCACCCAACCCCTTTCCGCGCGTATACGCAACTTGTCGTCCACCCAGCGCTTCCTCTGGCTCGGTAATATAGCCATGGTCCAGGTCTGGGCGCAGTGCTGGCGCATGGTAGCGGTGATACGGAGCGCGCAGGTAAGGGCCGTTAGGTGCAGTGCCAGCTTCAAGAAGCAGGACGCGGGGTGCAGCGTGTGTGTGAGCGAGGCGGTCGACCAACAGGGGTCCAGCGGTACCGGCTTTGACAGAAAATATGCATCAGTAAAGAAAAATGAAGCGAAAGAGAAGAAGGTTGTCCATATGGGAGAAAAGCTCAAGACAGAAAAACATACCGCCAACAATGATGAAATCGTATGACGAAGCCATTATACAACTAAATAATAGTACTTCTAACCTCGGCTCAAAGTTTGTTGTTAACTAAACTCTGGACTCCGTACTCCCCAGCCGCGGACCTCGAAATTTATACCATTTTCCCACATCTCATATCCGCCGTGTTACCCCGGCCTCTCCCTTAACCCAAGAAATCCACTTTACCCAAACTCGATCTTACGCCATCTCCATCAGGCATGTGAGCATTGTACTGCTCACGCCCAGCATCACACGCCAGCAAAGACAACGCAAAGCATGGTCATCTCTTCACTACACGTTTTTCTTCTCTAACACACCTGTCTATACCATATTCCCCTACGTAACTCTCCCCACCCATACACACATGTCAAAAGGAAAAGGTCTCGGTTATGAAGACAGGTGAGGCACCTACACTAAATCAACACGCCCATCGCACCCGCCCGCCGCAAAAAGAACCTTACATACCCTCCTACCCGCATCAGTCCATCTCCGCATTAGCGTCATCTAGTTCCATAAAACACTTGCTGATATCCTGTTGAGTAAGCCAAAACAATTGGCCGGGGAGACAGGGACAAGCGGTTACACTACATGCGTCAGTAAGCGGCGCTAGTGAGTTGTTACTTTGGCTTTTCCGTCGGGCGGTAACCGATTTATGGGGAGAAAGAAAGAGAGACAGAGAGAGGGGAGGTGAGGGGGGGGATTCGGTGATGAGATTCGGGGGGTGGGAATCGGAAGGGGGACGATGGATAAGAGGGGGTTCGGGTATTGGTGCGGGTACGGGTACCGGAGATGCTGTGTGTCGGATGGAGAGGAGGGGGAGAGTGGGGGGTGGGGTAACAGTGGATACGAGGGTATGCGGGATGTGGTTTTCAGGGTCTATTCTATCCTCTATGTCGTGCTGTATGAATCTTGTTGTGCACAGATATTCTATATCCCCGTTCTCATATCGCTTTTATTCCCTGTTCTATGCATGCATTCCTTACTCGCATGCTGTGGGGAGAAAGCTCTCTCTTTCCTCGTGCGCAATAGCTCCTATGCAAATCTCAAGACCATCCTCGCATCTAGTACTTAACAGCTACCCAGTTAGCTTCAGAGCGCTGCAAGGCTATTTGTCACCCGCATGCTAACCATTGCGGCTCCTGGTTCATCGGCACATGGCCCTGATAAGCGATACCTATCAAACGAGCCCAACCATTGCTTCTTCACTAGTCCGGTCGCAGTAGTATAAAAGCCTACCCACAACTCATGCATATCCTCCATAGAAACTGCAACATCCCCTTCTACCTCTTTCGATAAAAGGTAAAGATTGACCTCGAATCACGCATGGTACCTCGCGCACCTTGATCCCCACATGTGCCGCCCGCGGCGGCGGCGTTCGCATCGCACCGCTAGCCACGTGCGATTAATCTATTGGACGCAAAAATAACACATTTTTCCATCAACTTGGTGTCTTGACTTTCTCGGGTATCTGAGGCGGAACCGATGGTTCCTCGGTGGAATCCCTTGCGACTTCGTTCTGCGTAATCATGGTGGACATTAAACTCGCGGGTATGCTGTTGCGCAGCCAGTCTGGTTTCCTAAATACCTTTTTGCCTACAGGAGTTGCGTGGGCGTTTTCTGCCGGCACGCCTTGGGCTGGAGAACTTTGCTCTGCGTCCCAGACGCCGACTCTGCCTCTCTCGGAGCCTCCGCTAGGATGGCGACCGCCGTTGGTAGCTAAGCTGCGGTGGTGGAGGGGAGAAAAGTGAGGGAATTTTCGCGCTATGAGGGCGCGGAGATCGGGGAGCGAGGCTGCGATTATGGCGAAGGAGATTTGAATGGAGATGAGAATGTTGACTGCGGAGCCAAAGTACTGCATGTTGCTTTCTCGGCGCTTGATGAAGGGGATCTGGAGGAGGGCGACTACGCAGACGGTGAAGCCGAGGCCGAATATCACGACGAGACCGAGGCGCTGGCGGAGTCTCAGCTTGGAGAGCTGCCAGACATATACGATTGGGAGGGCGAATATCATGCTGTCCATGATGCTGTCGCCGATGGCTGCGGAGTAGCTATATACGGCGGAACTGAAACATTGCGATCCGGTGAATTCGAGCCAGTCTTCGGTCCACAGCTTGCCGATATTTTCGCAGTATACTATGAGTACGGTAAGGACCTCGACGAAGAGCGCAAGAGCCATAGCAAGAAGAATGTAACAGCATTTTCGGAGCGATGCCATCCCGGGTGGGAAGATGCGCAGATAGTATGCAAGGACTGAAAATCGAGTAAAGGTAACAGCAAAGAGGTAAGCGATACGTCTTTCGAAGATGTGCTGTTGAGTATTAGCGTGGTAATTTGAGATGTAGTACGGGCCATACCTGGTAGTATGGTACTTCTGATGTTCGATCAGGGCTATCAGTACAATCAGCATGACTTGCCATGCCATTAGCTGGTATGGACGGACCCTTTTCTATCATAGCCCCAGTTATCCTCTGCACTCATGCACGATATAACGGTGCGTGCAAAAGCCGCTCCCTGGTTTGATGTTAGCAACAGCCATATGGTAATGTGATTTGGCTTCTTTGGCACAATTCGAACATACCGTGCCTAACAGTATCAAAATGTCATCTGCGGCAAGTTTTTTCTTGATAGCTAATCTTGAATAGACTCTAAGAAGCACAGTACTGATTGCTAATACCATCAAAGGCACTTCGACAGACAGCGCTGTTTTGAAGCCATTTGTTGCATCTCCAGCTTCCACATTGACAATTGGCTGTGTGATAGTTGGGCGAAATTCCGTCCCCTCCGATGCAATCGACATGTTGTAAATGTGTGGGGTATTGGAGTAGTAAAACAAATGTTAGATTAGTCGGCGGAGCCTAGCACTAGGTGCAGAGGAGAGGGGCGTCACATTGAGAGTAAGGCTAATCGTGAAGAGAAAGAAGACACCTCGCCCGAGCATGCTGATGCTAATGCTGATTATGATGCCCTTCCAGCACCGCCAAGGCAGTGACTGCTCTGTATCCGCTGACACGCCTCTGGCGGCTTACTGAGCGACGAGCGTAAGCCACTCCACCAATAATAACTCAGCGTCGTTCCTGTGCCAATACCAAGCATTGGCAAAGGTGCTGACATACTTCTTCGATCGACTAGTAAGGCGGGAATAATTGAAGTGATATCATGAAGTGCAGTCTGAAAATATGATGTATTTGAAACGGGACTGAAGGTCTTTTTTTATCAAGAGATGAAATCGGCATGTTGCATGTCCTGTGCTGACCTTGAAAATCACGCTGCGAAATCCTCGAATCGGAACTGGTTGTTATATGCTTTAGCCTAAAAGATTCCTTCAACCTTATCGGATTGGTCAAAATCATATACATTTCCGTACGATCTGTTCAAGTAATTCTTGAGCAGCTGCTCGCTGGGAATGTATTGCGCAGCGATATCCAGACCTGTCTTCTCAGGCAAGAGTCGTTCGGTAAGCTCTTCGGCAAACTCGACTTGCATGGTGTTGCGGTACCATGGCGCGAAATGTACTAGTGTAAATAGTGAGACTGGCAACCTGTTGCATATAAGCAGGAAACTTACTCATAGCGAGCATTACTCTGGGATCGGTAGTAAGATTGGGCTTTCCTCCGTGCCAGAGTCTCAAGTCACGTATGATGATGCTTCCTTTCTTGACGATTGGTTGCGAGGGTGGCCTAACCTCCCTACGAGCGTCAAGCAGATGTTTCTTGATTCTTCCGCTAGCGCGGTCACCGTGTTCGCCTTCTTGATCGGCAATGGTGGTATCATTGTGCGTACCGAGCCAAACTTCAGTAGAACCATTCTCAGGAGTCATGGTGACTAAGGGAACATTGATGACAAGAGCAAATGGGATAGAAGGGTGGTCGAAATCCGCGTCATTGTGAGTCGGCTGGGACGCGGGTGGGGATGTTTCGGTAGGGGGCAGGGCTGTATTGCCGGACATGAATCGCAGAGAAGGTCTGGGTCCGAGTTTGGTTGATGTCACCTGGGTGACAATTGGATCTAGGAGATGACATGAGTGCATGGTCTTGCAGCCGCACAGCTGGACAAGAGGAAATCCTACTGATGTATATTTCGTTGCTGAACCACCCTTCCGTCATGGGCGGGTCCTGCTGGATATTGCCCTTGTTGTAATTAAAGGGACTATCCTTCCGCGCCTGCAGCTCATATGCATCTTGGACCATTTTCTCATTCAAGCGGTCCAAGACGGCATGGTTGACTATATCCTCCAAGACGACAAGACCGTCACGTGCAAGAGCCCGAATTGCGATTTCGAGATTGCGTTGGCCGAGTGCGCCATTCTTGATCTCGGATGCTGAGGGGACAATGGAGATGGGAGTCGAGGAAAGAGTTGGGGCCATGCTTGGGGATGAAGGAGTGGGAATAGATAGCTTGTACAAGTTTGTGAATGGCCAGTTTCAATAGCAAGTTGCGAATTTATATAGAGTCGAACTGATTCGGAATACCGTCGTGATGCTCATGGGATGGCGGAATGCACGTAATGGAACTAGACGGACGCTAGTCTAGTTGTAGCACAGCAACCGGTTTTATGGATACCAAGTGCGGGGTGCTTCCAGCTCGAGTGTCGGAAGAGCAAGACTGGGGCAGCAGACAACGGACGCGTTCCCGACAGTTGAGTGTGTAGTTTAGAACAAGGGGCTCCATCAAGTAGAAGATCCGGTGTGCTGTCAAGTTCTCACAGACATGTGCGGCGCGATAGCAGTTTCGGCGGGAAAGGGCCATGGCAACTGACGGCATTGGTTGCATTTGCTCTGCCCTGCTCTGCCCTGCTCTACTCTGGTCTTTGCATTTGCAAGCCAAACGCGCTGTCACGGGCTGCCAGGATAGCCGGATCCATAGCCACGGCTAGTCAGGGACAGGAGGGTTGAGGCTTAGGCTGTTGGTGCAAAAGCGGGAAAAGCGCAGTGGGTGATCGACTTCGTACTGCGGACCGAGGTAGCGTGGGTTGCGTTTGCCAGATTCCCGTCGCATGGCCTGGTGCTGATAGCGTAACGAAGATGCGTATTACATACAGCAAGCCTTGCGCTCGAGACTCGGCGTCTTACGGTGCTTACGTCAGGGGCTTTGGTGTTTCCTAGGGTCTCAAGCAAGGACGACAGAGGTTGCGCACACGTTGGGGACGCAGACAGGAGCGTCGTTGTCGCACAACATAGTGTTGGTTGGGCAGGCAAGTGGCGCGATGGCAGGACAGGAAAGGATCGATGAGGCCAGGGCCACCTCATCTCGTCTCCGCATTTGTTCCAAACACAGCGCCAAACAGCTGCCATCGCGCTCTCGCAACTACACACGCTTAGATACGGCCGTGGCCCACAGCGCATTCAACGTGTGCTTCTTTTTTTTCACACACACACACACACACAATTGTACCCCGATTTGATACTTCTGCCTATTGTTGTCGTTGTTAGCACAGCGTGCATCTGGCCCCTCCCCATTGGCTATTGCGGCGCCCAGCACCACCACCTCAGGCATCACACATCCATCCTGACAATCATATCACGCCCACACTGGCCCACCTGCCAGACCCGACACAACACCAGGCCATTGGGATTCGATAGTCTCTGCATCGCATAGCAATCGCACCACTTCACCCATCCCACGGCGCACAACAAACACCACGCGACCCAGACGAGTAACGTCATCTACGCCACCATGCCGTCACAGCGTCGCATGAGGCTGTCTGTCATCCTCATCATCGTCACAATCACCGTGCTCTTCTACATGTCAAGAGGAGCCCGCCAGACAACATCGTCCGACTTCTTCACAAAGACCCAGCAGGCGTTGCAGGAGAAGGAGTATGCAGAAGCCGTAAAGCAGCGCGATGCAGAGAGTGTTGGCTCGCGCCTCAAGGCCGCCGAGGACCAGGCCAAGAAGCACGCCGACGACAAGTACGCCAAAGTCAAGGCCGGCGTTGAAGGCCCAGACAAGAAGGGTGTAGCAGGCCGCGTCAAGATGGATGGCGACAGAGTACCGGGTGTTGCCCAACAAGGCGGTAGGCCTCGCGACCAGGCAGCCATGATGGAGCACGAGACCCCCGAGGATCACGAAGTCGAGATGGAGCTCAATGCGATTCTGAAAAAGAGTCCGAGTATGTTCAAGATACGCCAACCCTTGTGCGCAGTTACTAACCTCTTGCAGTGATCATCTTTTCAAAATCCTACTGCCCCCATTCGAAGAAGGCAAAGCACATTCTGCTTGAAAAATACAACATTGTTCCTAGGCCCTACGTTGTCGAGTTGGACCTCAACCCCATGGGCGAGAAACTACAAGCGTTCTTACACAAATCCACTGGCCGCAGAACAGTCCCCAACGTACTGCTCATGGGCAAGAGTATTGGAGGTGGCGACGAAATGCAGGAGCTTGACGAGACTGATGCCCTTGTAACAAAGGTCCGGGAGATGGGCGGCAGTCGTGTCACCGAGGTCGAGCATCGTGACGCCCGTCCACAGGCAAAGCGCCAACGGAGGTCAGCGTAAAACCCTGTTGTGCTTGCTCCGTAATCTGTTTTGTCATATATCTATCAACTGTATGTTTTGGTAGAGTCTTCCAGTGTCGGGGTGCTGCATGATGCACATCAGGATGGGCGTGAAATGTTTTGTATACCCCGATGCATCTCGATTGGCGCGATGCCTATGGGCCCACTTGTGGTCTGTCTGGTGTGGCGGATATACCCTCTATAGTTTCATTTGATCTTGTGTTCCTTCATTCTTCACTGTTTTCAACTGGCTTCAAATACTGCTCTCACTTACCTCAGTGATTGCCATAACTGACAGTCACTCATCTTTGAGGAAAGCGCGCTCTCACTTCACCCCACTTTCACTTACCCAACGCCGAAGCAGCGACAATTAAGATGCCGTCTCGCTCTCACATCTTGACTACCCACTGTTATACCAACTCGCGTTAACACCGGCAGTTTTCGATCGGGCACTTGCCATAGCAGCTCACTAACGATCCCCCAAGCCCTTCACCAACATGTGTCTCTACTGGAAGAAGATGCATACGTGCGGCCACCCTTCAGATCGTCCTTATATCGAGATGTGCCGTCCAGGACTCCTCTCCAACAACGTCTGTCTTGACATCAAGGAAGATGAGCAGTATCGTCCGTCGCACTTCCCATGCTACCTCTGCATCAAAGCCGAAGCACGTGCCGAAATCGAGGCTCAAGTCCGTTCTGATCAAGAAGCCATCGCTAAGGCCCGCCAGGCTCGCGAGAATGCGGTCAAGGAGAAGGTAGCTGCGGAAATTAGAGCAAAAGAGGAGCGTGTTCGACGCGAGGCTCGCGAGAAGGCAGCTAGAGAACGAGAGGCAGAACAGCGAGCGAAGCAAGAAAAAGAAGAAGACGAAATCAGAGCTAAGAAAGAAGGCGGTCCGTGGATTGAGACTTTGGGAGGCAAAAAGTTCAAGGCCAAAAAGAACGCTGGCAGTAGTGGTACCACGAGCAGTCCTACGAAACTCTTGAACTCATTGTCAGTAGCAAAGATGGCTACTGGGCCCAAGAATACAAAGGAAAATAGCACTGGCAATGGCGACGGTGGGGAGATGACGGGTTCCAAGACAGTTGGGGTTGACATGGGCGGTAGGGCGGGGGTTTGGGGCCCTAAGAAGATCTTGACGAGGCAAGAGAACGATGTCGGCACCGGCTTCGGGGTGAAGAAGTAAGGCGCTTCTTCGAGACCTCAAAACCGCGCTTTGCAAAATCAAAGCAAGTCCATTGGAAACTCTTCTCCAAGCACGCTCTGGGGTGGAGGCAGTGGACTAGTTAGATCATGGTGTCGGTGGCTTGCTGGTGTCCGGGTTCAGAATACATGGTCAATGGGGAAAGCAGCTGCATGTATACATACTGACTGTATGTATTTGCATATGGAAAATCGACGTTAGTAACCCGAAAACCTGGTCCATGGTCGAATTAAGTGGGTTGTAATACACACAGCATGATGCCTGAGATGGCGAGATGACAGTTGTGACAGGGGAACAGGGCTAAAAGACAGGCTCTTGAATCGTGACGTGCAAATCGGCGGATGATGCGGAAGAGCGCGACATGATAGGCAAAGACGATTGGCGACTAGTAAGGCAAACGGCTGCAAACCACTGCAAACCATGGCACCGGTCTGCGCCGGCTCCAACACGTCGAGAATGTCATGATATCAGATGCCAAGGCACGCAGATATTACTGAGGCCCAATTTAGGCCCAGCTGCCATTTACAGACATAGGTATTTGCAGGGGGGCTGGACAATACGTAGTTGGAGAAAGGCGCTGGGAAACGTGGGCAGACCGGTTCGAGGCACGATGCCGTGTTCTGGTTGCTAGGTGACCGGGGGGCGGAGCGTCTATGCGGTACACGAAAGTCCAAGTATACCTACAACACACTCTAGAGTGCATATCCTCAAACAACGCGCCCACTTTTTGACACGACAGCAACGATTACAGGAACTCGTATATACGCAAAAGAGGACTAGCAGCCGGTGTCCAAGAATTCGCGCAAGCGAATACACTTACCGCAGGCCGTGTTGCGACTCTGGGCGGCAGTAGCCTCCCCAACCTCCCCAGTACCAGCCACCGACCCGCAGGCTCCCCAACCTCACGCATATTCCAAGTGTACCTTTTTCTTTGCTCCAACCTGCTTCCTTCTCCTGCACAATTACATACTCCCTACCACTGCACTTTGGCTTTGTTCAGAGAATATTGCTGACTTTCTTTTTGTTTCTTTTTTCGCAAGAGACAGGCCATCCACTCGTGCAGGAAGCCAGTCATCGTACGCACACCTAGTCGTCCGGGTCTGGACAGCACGCTAGCCAACAGGCCGACCCCGCAGCTACCCACGCATTCACCGCTCCGACAGGCGACGGCGAGTATAGTATCGCGCCGCAGCACCAGCAGCAGTGTGTCGTTCTTCTTCTTCTTTCTGCAGACGCATCCCCTCCAATTCCATCCAATCGCCGCCTCCTTTGCCGGCCGTTTGGTACAGTCGATCGCTACGATGCACCTCTTCACTATGCCTTCCGCCATGCTTGGTCTGGCTGCATTCGCATATCTTCCAGCCGCCCTCGCAAAGCCTTATCCCCCAGTCCACTTTCAAGACTTGGAAAATTACCACAACTCGTCCCAATCTGTGGAAAAACGAGCCTGCGATGGAGTTTCCTGCGGTTACGGCGGCTGGCTATGCTGCCCTTCAGGCTCAACCTGCTACACCGATGCGCAGAACCAGGCGCAATGCGGCGGCTCTGGCAACGCCAGCCCACAGGGAACAGGAGGTGTCTGGGAGTACCACACCACCACTTATGTCGAGACGGTCGGACTCCTCACCAAGACTCAAGTCTTTAGCACTTACGTCCCTGCGACTGCGACACAGACTTGCAAGGACTCGCAAAATCCATGCGGCTCCACCTGCTGCGACTCGGGATTCTACTGCCTCACTGCCGGCCAATGCGCTCTGATCGCTGGTGGAAGTTCTGGAGGTATTTCACCCTCCGCTCCTCTACGACCCACTGGCTCAGGCGTTGTTATAGTCACCTACACTGGCACCCCAACCGCGACAGTTCCCTTCCAGACTCCAATTCCCACTGGCGCAGCCGGCAACGACCTCGTTCCCACTGAGGGTCAAAACAACGGTCTCAGCGGTGGCGCCATTGCCGGTATCGTCATTGGTGTCATCCTGGGCGTTTTGCTGCTGCTTCTGTTGTGTCTTTTCTGCTGCGCCCGCGCCCTCTTCGACACTCTTCTCGCCATTTTTGGTTTCGGCAAGAAGCGCAAGCACAGCCACGAGGAAACCTACATCGAAGAGCACCACCACAGCGGAGGCGCAGCTGGCGGACGCTGGTACGGCGCAGGTCGTCCTGCTCGTCCCTCGCGTGCTGGCTCGGAGAAGCACAGCGGCGCAAAGAAGGGTCTCGGCATTGCCGCTGGTCTTGGTGGCCTGGCGCTTGCATTGGGTCTGAAGAAACACCAGGACCACAAGGCGGACGACAAGAGCACTACTGTCAGCGGAACATCATACATGTACAGCGACTACACGAGTACAAGTAAGTGACCAATTATTTCTACGAATTAATCGTTGATCGAAATACTAACAACCATCCAGGCAGCGCAAGCTCATCAGACCGACACACTCGCCGAACACGACACTCGTCAAGGCGATAATCTCGTCGTCTTATTCACGTTTCCTGCTGGAATTCTTGAATTGTACAAAGTCACATGTTTTTTTCTTCCTTTCGCGTCGTCTAGTCCGCTACTAGACGCAATGTTTTATGAGCATGCTACCGGTTTATCTTTTGATAAGAAAAGGAGGGTTACCAGGCTCGCCTGCATGGAGCCTTACCTATTGGCGTTTATTTTGGGAGCAAAGGCGTTTTAGCGTGCGAGCTTTTACTACGCTGCGATAGCGATGAGTTATGTTTTCTATTCCGTTTTTCTTTTTTCAGTTACACGACGATGGAGAAGATGGGCGTTGAACCGCTTAATGAAGAATGCGTATGCACAAGATGCAAGAAATATGAGATTATGGATACGGAAGATACGTACAAGGATTGAACGAAAACATGAGCCCTTGATTAAGGGTGTAACTATGAAAAACAGTTCCTTCACAAAACTCATCTTGATGACGTGATTATGGCCTTGGTGAATCTTGGAACATGCTCTAGCTGTACGACTAACTACGGGTTTGAAAGAAACAATACGGTGGCGGAAAAAGCTAATTGCAAATGGTGCGACTGCGAGAGTATGTAAGCTAGAATTGCAAACCGGGCTGATTGATGATTGCATGTGCCAAGACCAAAGTGGGATGGCGCTAATGTGGAGCTCTTACACTCTCGATGTGACAGGTACTCACGTAATAACTACTGCCACCTGCTGCTTCTCGGGCAGATCCCTTTCCTCCTGTCTACACCATCCTGCTCAAAAATAAGACAAACCAGTTGATCTAGTTTGTCTGCGTTCCACAACTAAAAACACCATATAGCTTGCTACCCCGCGATAGTCAAGGCGCCCGCGATTGCCACACCGGACGGCTGCTAAGCTTCTCAACAGTCGACAAACTGGGGAAGAGGCAACAGAACGACGAGGACGCTCGTCCCAGTAAGAAAGAAAAGGCTATGACAGTAAGCTTCCCTGCGTCCTCGAACCAGGACACCCTGCGCGTCTACAACTGCCGTCGGCTTCGTCACTTCGAAACACCCTGATTAAAAGCTAACAACGAGCAGGAAAAGATGCAAGTCGATAGTCCTGCCACTGCTGTCGAGCAGCTAAAGGAGGCCTCTGGAAACAATGGCGACATCGACGAGTCCCTATACAGCAGACAGCTATACGTGCTGGGCCACGAGGCCATGAAGCGCATGGGCTCGTCCAATGTCCTTGTCGCTGGTCTGCGAGGCCTTGGTGTAGAGATTGCGAAGAACATTGCTCTTGCCGGTGTCAAATCGCTGACGCTTTACGACCCCAAACCCGCCGCTCTCGCCGATCTATCGTCACAGTTCTTCCTTACACCTGACGATGTAGGAAAGCCGCGCGCCTCCGTCACCGTGCCCCGCGTTTCCGAACTCAACCCATACACACCCGTCCAGGAGTTCAGCGGGAAGGATCTGACGTCAGATCTATCCCAGTTGAAGCAGTTCCAGGTTGTAGTGCTTACCGACACCCCGCTAGACGACCAGATCAAGATCGCCGACTACTGCCATGACAACAGTATCTACATTGTTATCACGGATACATTTGGTCTGTTCGGTACCATCTTCACCGATTTCGGAAAGAACTTCACTGTCGGCGACCCCACTGGCGAGAACGTGACCAATGGCATCATTGCTGGCATTGACGAGGAGGGCATTGTATCGGCATTGGATGAGACAAGGCACGGTCTTGAAGATGGCGATTGGGTCACCTTTTCTGAGGTTGAGGGGATGGAGCCTCTGAACGGCTGCGCGCCTCGCAAGATTGAGGTCAAGGGACCTTATACCTTCTCGATTGGTGACGTGTCAGGGCTGGGAGAGTACAAGAGGGGAGGCCAGTTTATCCAGGTCAAGATGCCCAAGATTCTCAACTTCGAGCCACTTAGCAAGCAGCTAAAGAAGCCCGAGCTTCTCATTTCCGACTTTGCAAAATTCGACCGACCACAACAACTACACGTCGGCATTCAAGCTCTCCACAAGTTTGCGAAGCTTCATAAGGGCGAGTTCCCGCGCCCTCACCATGAGGCTGATGCAACGGAGCTGTTCAAGATTGCGCAAGAGATTGCAGGCGAAGGTGAAGAGAAAGTTGAGCTGGATGAAAAGCTCATCAAGGAACTTAGTTACCAAGCTCGTGGCGACCTCAGCCCTGTAGCTGCTTTCTTTGGTGGAATGGCTGCCCAGGAAGTATTGAAGTCTGTGTCTGGAAAGTTCCACCCCATTGTGCAGTTCCTCTACTTCGATTCGCTAGAGTCGCTCCCTACCTCCACAACCCGTTCGGAGGAGCAGTGCGCTCCGATTGGTTCACGATATGACGGTCAGATTGCGGTACTGGGTCAGGAATACCAGAAAAAGCTCAGCAATGTCAAGCAGTTCCTGGTCGGCGCAGGCGCCATTGGTTGTGAAATGCTCAAGAACTGGGCTATGATGGGTCTGGCTACTGGTCCTGAGGGCAAGATTACCGTAACCGACAACGACCAGATTGAAAAGAGCAATCTGAACCGCCAGTTCTTGTTCCGACCTGCAGATGTCGGCAAGCTAAAGAGTGATGCTGCTGCAAAGGCAGTACAGGCCATGAACCCGGATCTCAAGGGAAAGATTGTCACTCTACAAGACAAGGTCGGCCCTGAAACGGAGCACATCTTCAACGAGGATTTCTGGAATTCGCTAGACGGCGTAACAAATGCGCTCGACAACGTGGAAGCGCGCACATATGTCGACCGACGATGCGTCTTCTTCCGTAAGCCTCTACTCGACAGTGGCACTCTCGGTACCAAGGGCAACACGCAGGTTGTTCTGCCGTTCATCACCGAGTCCTACTCTTCATCGCAGGACCCACCCGAGAAGTCATTCCCCATGTGCACATTGAGAAGTTTCCCCAACCGAATCGAGCACACGATTGCGTGGGCGCGAGAGTCATTCGATTCGCTATTTGTCAAGGGGCCTGAGATTGTCAACTTGTACTTGACGCAGCCTGATTATCTTGGTGCTTCATTGAAGCAATCTGGAAACGAGAAGCAGACCCTTGAGACTCTCCGGGATTTCTTGGTGACTGAGAAACCGCTGACCTTTGATGACTGCATCATCTGGGCGCGCCACCAGTTCGAGAAGAACTACAACCACGCGATTGCGCAGTTGCTTTACAACTTCCCCAAGGACTCCAAGACTGGATCTGGTCAGCCATTCTGGTCAGGCCCAAAGCGTGCGCCCGATCCAACCAAGTTCGACCCCTCAAACCCTACCCACTTCACCTACGTTGAAGCCGCTGCCACCCTGCACGCCTTCAACTATGGCATCAAGCCAAATGCATCTCGAGAGCACTACGTGGAGGTACTCAACGATATGATCGTTCCCGACTTCCAGCCCGACCCTACTGTGAAGATCCAAGCGGATGAGAAGGAGCCAGATCCAAATGCCAACCAGGGTGGTGGAGACGACAACGATGTTCTCAATAAGATCATTAACCAGCTTCCGGACCCCAAGTCTTTGGCTGGATTTAGGCTTGAGCCTGTTGAGTTTGAGAAGGATGATGACACCAACCATCACATTGACTTCATCACAGCTGCTAGCAATCTGCGTGCAGAGAACTACAAGATTGAGCAGGCCGACCGCCACAAGACCAAGTTCATTGCTGGCAAGATTATTCCTGCTATTGCCACAACCACAGCCCTTGTGACTGGTCTCGTCAACCTTGAGCTTTACAAGATCATTGATGGTAAGAAGGACATTGAGCAGTACAAGAACGGCTTCATCAACCTGGCGCTGCCCTTCTTTGGCTTCAGTGAACCAATAGCAAGCCCGAAGGGAACATATCAAGGACATGATGGCGAAGTGACGATTGACAAGCTGTGGGACCGCTTTGAGGTGGAGGACATCACGCTCAAGGAGTTTGTTGACCACTTTGAGAAGAAGGGCTTGTCAATCCAGATGATCAGTTCGGGTGTCAGCTTGCTGTACGCATCATTCTACCCTCCTTCGAAGCTAAAGGACCGGATGCCTCTGAAGTAAGTTGCTTGTATCTCTCTTTTGGATATCAAATGCTAATACTGTGAATAGGATGAGCAAGCTAGTGGAGCACGTCAGCAAGAAGCCGATCCCCGACCATCAGAAGAATGTCATCTTTGAGATAACGGCCGAGGACCAGAAGGAGGAAGACGTAGAAATACCATATGTGATGGTCAAACTCCAGTAGGGGTGGATTCGTGATGAGAAGGACTTTGGACTTGTTCGAAAGGCTGGATTCAGACGATGACAAGAAGTATTAGATGAGCATAGTTTGCATGAATAGATGTCATTCTGTACTGTGGCCTTCACTTATTTTCTCACGGTAAAAGAGAACGTGATTGACATAGGCGTGATTCGTTAGTTACGGCGTTGCAGTCATTGGTGCCGAAAGTCGGAAGAGGGTGGGGCAAGAATGCCAAGACGAGCAGCTAGCAGCGGCGACGCGGAGGTTGATTATCAAGCGTGTCGAGGATGTTTGTCGAGCACGCAACAATGTAGACTTTACCTGCACGCAAGCCCTACAACTACAATGGCGCCGTCACTGGAAGAGCCCGTGCAAGTGGACTTTGAAGCACCTCTCAAAGCAGCGCCCCAGCTGGTTGCGCCTGAGCCGGGTAGGTTTGCCCCGCCACCACAAGCGACTCAGAGGAGCACACGACTAACACATGGTTCACAGAACATTGCCCTGGACCGGAATCCGCTACTGCTGGTAAAGCAGACTCCTGTGCAGGATGTCCCAACCAAGCAATATGCGCCTCCGCGCCCAAAGGCCCTGACCCGGACATTCCCCTCATCACAGCACGACTCGCCTCTGTCAAGCACAAGATCCTAGTACTCTCTGGCAAAGGCGGAGTAGGAAAATCGACTTTTAGCACCATGCTCTCCCACGGCTTCGCCTCGAACCCTCAATCCACAGTCGGCATCATGGACACGGATATTTGCGGTCCCAGCATACCCAAGATGATGGGGGTAGAAGAAGAAACAATACACGTTAGCGGCGAAGGGTGGGAGCCCGTCTGGGTCAGCGAAAACCTGGGCGTCATGAGCGTTCAGTTTATGCTGCCGAACCGTGACGACGCAGTCATCTGGCGGGGCGCGAAGAAGAACGGGCTCATTAAAAAGTTCCTGATGGACGTTACGTGGGGGGAACTGGACTTCCTCATCGTTGATACGCCGCCGGGCACGTCTGACGAGCATCTGTCGGTGAATTCGTTCCTGAAAGCCTCGGGTGTGGATGGTGCGGTTCTCGTGTCTACACCTCAAGAAGTTGCGCTGCTGGATGTACGCAAGGAGATTGATTTTTGTCGAAAGGCGGGAATACGCGTGCTGGGTATTGTGGAGAATATGAGTGGGTTTGTGTGTCCTGGGTGTAAGCATGAGAGTCAGATTTTCAGGGCGAGTACGGGAGGTGCGGAGAGGTTGGCGAAGGACGAGGGGATTCCGTATTTGGGTGCGGTGCCCCTAGATCCGAGGATTGGCATGGCGTGTGATTTTGGAGAGAGCTTTTTGACGGCGTACCCGGATAGTCCGGCGTGTAAGGCTATTCAGGAGGTAGTGAGGAGGGTCGGGGAGCAGATGGGGTTGAGACGAGAGGAGGTGTTGCCTGTGGAGGAGGAAGCGTGAGGATATCCAGACACGATAGACGTATAGTAAACATGTTTGATCAAGCAGATCATGGCTTGGATGTGTCGGTCCGGTCCAGCAGCAGTTGAACCGTGCAATGGCATCCGTGTGTGGCTGACGAAACAGTTCACGCAAGCATGGATGATCGCTATTTTCCCTAAACACAAGCGTGTATACTGACTTGGACATGTAGGGTAGGAAATACGGCATGGGCGTGTGGTACGAACATTCTCCCTGCAGCAGGGTGGCTGACAGGAGATTACAAGTGGGTCTGCAGCCACAGACACAGCCACTCAAGGTGCGTCATTTGGATAGCGCCATGCATGGGGGAGCACTGCTCTTGTGAAGGTGGTGGCTAGTTCTTAGCGTGCACCCGTGAAGCTTGCTTTGCGCCCGGGTCATGAGCTCATCGATGTCACCCTCCCGCGAACTACTAGACTGCGCTTCCAAAGTCTGCAGCGAGTGAGGAGTTGCAGAACAAGGGTGCGCATCCGGGTCAGCACGGCATGTTCTGACCCTTTTTTTTGGGGGGGGGGGGGGAGAGGGGTCCTTGAACATCTCATAGACTTATGTAGCGTATATCTTGAAAGGAAGACCCACTAAAGCGCGCGATCCACCGCGGTTGCGGTTGCGGGCACCCTTTCACCTTTTGTGGCTGCGACTCGAACAAGGACTTCTCCCCGGCTAGCGGCAGCGCATCCCTGACCCGTTGTCCTGCTGTGGCCCATCAATCACTGGCACAACACAACTTTCTGGTCTTTCGAGTCCTCGAGGCTTGCATACATTTTGGGCCCCCCCAGCCTCTCTTCTTCCTCCCTTCCTCGTTTACATACGCGTGTTTGAAACCCTCCACGCCATACATATTTGCCTTTGTTTATTTACTACTAGTATTGTTTTGCTAAGAGGAGGTCCCTCCCCCCGAACTCAATTGGACTATTGTCTTGCGCAAGGCTTCCTTGATATTTCCCCCTGTGTCGCGCGCATTGCCCATCTGCGCCAGAGCTTTTGCGGCTTACTAGAGTCTCTCAGCCCATCGCAATTGTGAGTTTGCGCCTTTCGTTGAATTGAGCCCCTCTTGCTGACTGAAGCCTGGAAGTGTAACGACATCTTTCTTGTTTACGACGCGCTTTGCGTGGGCATCTTGTCTCGCTTTTATACGACCACTGCTACTACTACGAGCCCTTAATTGCGACCGGAGTGCGCCATGGCGACCGAATACCAGCAACCTGTTTTCACGGCGTCCGCCGACGTCCAACCGCATACCGATCCCAGTGGCGTTCAAGGCATTGGCCAAGGCCCTCAAGTTGTCAGCACCTCGGGTTCGCTGGATGTTGTACTGGGACCGCTGCTGAACTATAGGCGCACCAGCAATCAGCAGGCGGGACAGCCCATATGGCACGGCAGTGTGCTGGTTGTGACTAAGCCGGGGCAGCAGGATGCAAACGGCGTACACCCAAGCCCGCAGCTTACCCTGTCACCCGCTGGTGCTGTAGACAGGTCGCTTGGCGATGTGAGGTTCAGCGTTGCGGAGAGGGTCTTTCACGGCCATAAGCTGTACGAAGACTCCAAAAAGGCGTTTTGGCGCTTTCTCATCGACGCGCCCATGCAGCCGTTCGAGTCGAGGTGGGACTACGATATTCAGAGCCTCAAGTACGTTGATGGCAGAAAGGAAGAGAAGCCGACGAGATTTGTGATTCCCTCCATCTCTCAGTCCATGCGCATCATGTTCCACTCTTGCAACGGTTTTAGTGTTGGAACCGACTTGGATGTTTGGCAGGGACCCGTACTCTGGCATGATGTCCTGCGCATGCACGACCAGCGACCTTTCCACGTCATGATTGGTGGCGGCGACCAGATCTACAATGACGGAGTGCGAGTGGATGGTCCACTCAAGCCCTGGACCGACATCTCCAACCCCCACAAACGACGCGAATTTCCCTTTGACAGGCAGATGCGTGACGAGTGCGACGAGTACTACTACAACAACTATGTCCGGTGGTACGGCACGGCCCCCTTTTCCACTGCCAACAGCCAGATTCCTCAGGTTAACATCTGGGACGACCACGACATTATTGATGGATTTGGTTCCTACACCGATCATTTTATGAACTGCTCTGTTTTCCGCGGTATTGGAGGAGTCGCTCACAAGTACTATCTTTTGTTCCAGCACCATCTTGCTCCTCCACCAAGTACTTACACCACCGACGCTCCCCAGACAACGGCCGTACATGCTCAAGGAGAGAAGACGACACCTGCAGATCATGCCCAAGTCCAGGATACGTTTGTAATGACCAACGATGAAGGCGACTCATCATACATTATTGGTTCCAAGCCTGGTCCGTACGTCGAGGAACGGAGCCGCAACATTTACTGTCAGTTAGGCGCACGAATTGCCTTTGCTGGTATCGACGCCCGAACGGAGCGCACAAGACACCAGGTTAACTACCCGGAGACGTACAAGCTGCTGTTTGATCGTTTAGATGCAGAGTTTACTGCCAACCCAGAACTCAGACACATGATCTTACTGCTCGGTGTTCCTATCGCGTATCCCCGTTTGATCTGGCTTGAGAACATTCTGCAGTCGCCTCTGATTGCGCCCATCAAGTTTTTGAACAAGCGCTTTGGCTTTGCTGGTGGTTTCTTTAATCAGTTTGACGGCAAGGTCGATTTGCTCGACGATCTCGACGACCATTACACGGCCCGCCAGCATAAGGAAGAGCGCAGACAGCTTATGCACAAGCTGCAAGCCTTTTCCCAAAAGTTTTCTGCCCGAGTCACTATTCTCGGAGGAGACGTCCATCTCGGAGCCATTGGCCGCTTCTACTCGAACGCCAAACAAGGACTCCGCGCCGAGGAGGACTGGCGCTACATGCCCAACATCATCAGTTCCGCCATCACCAACAAGCCCCCACCACAAGCCGTGGCCAACCTCCTCGCCAAACGCAACAAAATTCACCACCTCGACAAGGAAACCGACGAGACCCTCCTCGAGATCTTCGACCGCGATCCCACCCTCCCGGACGGCGTCGTTGCAAACGGTACAAACGGCACAAACGGCACCACCGACTCCAACGGCACCAAACCCGAACCCAAAACCTCCGACTCAAACCACGCCACCATGCCCTCCCGCAACTACGCCATCATCTGTGAATCCAGCATCCCCCCCGCCGCCACCTTGTCTGCACCCAGCCCCCAACCCGGCGCCACACCCTCTGTGCACACAAACGGCGACGCGAAATCTACTATGAGTGAAGCTCCGGGTGCAAAAGATAACATGCGGCACCCGTTCCATCTTGGTGAGCATGGAGCAGGGACTCAGCATCCTGCTGCGAATGGTGTGCAGCCGTCGGGCCTGTGTGGACCGTATGGTCTCGATGTTTCGCTTAGAGTCGAGATTAGTAATAAGGATAGGGAAGGAAGGACGGATGGGTATGGGTTTACGATTCCGGGGCTCATGGTTAGTGAGGCTATGAAGTCGAAGGGCAGGCATTGGTAGAGTTGATATTCGTATAAGGGAAGGGGGGGTGTAATAAGGGGATGTTAAAATGATTTTTTTTTGATTTTTCGTATACGTGGTGCGTTTGAGTTGGATAGTTACATACCCCTGAACTAAGTGCGTTCTTTTAAATGTATGGTAATTCGACATGTTTGTTTGTTTTTGTTCGCATAGTGTGGAGCAATGGGATAAGTTAATGCGGATGTTGATGAGTGTTTATTACTAAGCTCTCATGCATGTGATTGACGTCCTGACACTTTTCAAAGGAAAACAGGAACCAAAGAAACAACACGTTTTTCAAGCTGTAGTTATATTCTATGCTTAGATTCATGATTTCATCTTTTGTTGCTCGCTACAGAGCAAATGCTGTGTACGCATACATCTATATATATATACATGGTTATTTGTTTGTTTGAAAGTTTTTGTTGGAAAAAAAAAACAAGATGAGGATCCCGCCCTGCTTTAAAAGAAAGATTTGGGGGGAAATGAGGTTCTCATCTTGACATGTCCGTCTGCCTTGTAAAAGGAAAAAAAGGAAAAAAAAAAAGGACCAAGAAAGAAAGAAAAGAGATATGCACGATATAAACACCCAAAACCCCCCCTCAATCCCAAAAAAATAACCAATCACAGCAAGAAGAAAAAAGATGTAGAGAAATCAACAGCTTACCATGAAAATGAATGCCTCAACCCTCCCTCCTCACCTCCTCCACTCTTCCTTAACGCCGCAAAAAGTGCAAGTAACTGTGCCGCCTCCATCGCGCCGGCCTCCTGCCAGAAAGTCGACGACCCCGTCTGCTGCATCGCCAGTTCATAACACGTCTCGAGCAACGCATTCGTGTGCTCGGGCGCATCCCTTATGCGCACCTTCATCGCAATCGCCATGGCGAGAAAGACATGGAACCTTGCCATCGCCATGCTCACTGAGAGCTCTACGGCAGAAGAAGGTTGAGCATTGGGATAGACTGCTTCGCAGAAACGGGCGAAGAGTAGGGGGGAAAGGGAGTACGCTTTGTAGTCCAGCGACTCGAGGTGGCGGATGAATTCGTTGGTGAGGGTTTCGGCTTCGAAGCGCGAGGGCAACGGTGTAGTGGCGAGCGCGCGGCTGCGGTCTGTGTAGCTTGAGCGTGAGGAGGATGGGCCGGGGCTTTCGGCGCGGCGGGCGGCGAAGATACCCTGGCGGGGGAGACGCGGGGCTGGGGCTAAGGGAAGGAGGTCATCCTCAATCTCCGGGATGGGAGACATGGTTTGGTCGGTGCTTCCAGCGGAGAGGGAGGAGGTGGATGTTTTGCGGGAGTGAGCGGGGCGGGACATGGGGGCGTTGGTGGGTGGGTGGAGTTGGGAGGGTGGCAGGTGGGGGTGTGCCATGAATTCCCAAGAGGGGGCTATGTGCATTTCTCCGGAGGGTAGTGGTGAGGTTGTTGTTGGGAGTTTGCCGGAGGAGTAGGAGGAGGGGGTGGTGTAGTTGGAGAGGCTGCTGGCCGAGGGTGGTGGTGGCGGCCCCGAGGGCATGGAGTCGGGAGACGAGGCACGCGTGGTACCTAACCATAATGAAGGTACTGGTGAAGACGGCGAGGAGAGGTTGGGGAAAGGCTCACATTCGTCTATGGCGATTGAGGGCATGCTGCCGCTGCGTGCGGAGAAGGCGCCCAGGTCCAGGTCGTCGGCGGTGAAAGTCGCGGGGATGCTGGTATCGAGGTTCAGATGGGATCCAGTACTACTTCCGCCCCCGACGGACCAGTCGAATGAGGTTGGGGTGCTGGCCATGAGGTTTTGGTCAATCGACTCCATTCCGTGCATGGGGGCGTTGACATGTCGGGCTAGTTGGGCCTCGAGTTGGTGTATTCGTCCTTCTAGAGCCTCTCGATGTTCACTTTTTTGTTTAAGACAAGGGTCAGCTTATTATCACGTCATATGGTTTGTTCACAACGTTCGTCTTCTTTTTTTTATGGGGGAACATGTGGGGTAAACTGACGATGCCACGACCTCTTTAGGTTTCTGCGTTCTTATACACTGCACTGCAAAGCGCTTACACGTTGCGCATGGAGTTTCGCCGTCACAGCGGATCTTCCTCCTTCGGCAGCGCTCGCAGGCATTGGAGACAGATTTTCTTCTAGGCTGCCAGTCCTTTACGGCCGTGGGCGAGAAGCGCGCTGGACCTTCACCAGAAGGTAGTGAAGCTTTTTTTTCTCTCAGCATAGTCTTGATGAAGGAGGGTCGCCAAGCTTACTGAAGGGGCACATGCTGGTTAGCAGTTGTAGAGCGTTCCGCGTCGGATGAGAAGGCTTCCGGATGGATTTGATCAATTGCGGTGAATGAAGAGGCGGTGATCATAAGACGGAGGCGTGAGTGGGAAGGGTACGACGGAGGACGAGATCTCGGGTTGTTTTACATCCCGCTGAGCGTAGCGATGACAGACAAGATGGCTTGACTAATCGTCTACTCCTGCCGTCGTCATGATCACAAGGGACAGATACGACACGGACTTCCGACAATTGGGGCTTCATCCAGGGCTGTAACAGGACTGCAGCGGGCGTTGCGTGTCGCGGGTGCTGATAGGCCCGGGCCTGCGACGAGCAAGGCTATGCGCTTCGCATCGACTTTCCCTCCGCTCGTCAACCTTCTAGAAAATGGGCCATGGGGGTGGAGATTGCAGGGACGGGGACGCGGCCGCTCTCCGCGTCTGCAGCATAACTGTCGCATGCCGCCTTCGCCCGCGGTCGTCGAGAAATGCAAAAGGGCGGAATGGACGGTCGATTCCTCCGCTGACTTGTCGCAATGCTCCTTCAGATCTGTCCGCGCCATCGATTCAAGCAAAGAGAGGAGAGGGAGTTGAGGGTGGCCAGTGGGGCCCACACGACGTTACTACAATTAACCTCCCGCCGCCGATGGTCTCGCCGCGCCCCTGGCACCCTGCACGAGCGTTAAGACAACTGCCGAACACACAGCAAACTATCCTTCCGTGTCGCATCCCTTTGCCTGACACATTTGTACACGACTCAGCACGCCCTCGCCCGTTCTTCACCGCGGCCAGCCGACGTTGTCTGCACAAGCCCCGTCTATGTATGCGCCGTCGCTGGCACAACCATCTGATCTAGCCCCCCGTCTCCCTCATATATACTACACTACATCCTTCAGGAACATGGCGCGAGTCACCCAATACTCCAACTATACGCGACACAGTGGGCCATTGGTCGATTGAACGCCCTTACCAATTATTCCTCCGTCGTCAATCGCCCACCCTTCAGTGCCAACCCCGTGGTGGACATAGAAGAGCATGCCAGCGTCGTATTTCCTCTTGATCTGCACGAGCCTCGGGTAATTGTCGCCCCAGAAAGATTGCTGCCAGTTGGGCTCCGCAATATCAGCTTCATTGCCATACGCGCCGCCCTTTGGCGTGATTTCTCGAAGCGGCGGCATGACGGTATTGGTAATCTTCTCCACGGTCGCTTGCCATCCCGCGGGCGTCTGGTTCGCAACCGGCGTGATGACGACCATCTGGCTCTCTTCGTTCCGGAACGCGGGGTTGGCAGAGTTGAGATTCTTGTTCTCCTGCTCGGCTGGGCGCTGATGGTACATACTGACTATTGCTCCATTATCCACAGCGTGGCGGATGGTGGCAACAGTCTGATTGCGTATCTCAGAATCCTTCCAGTTGTCGGATGGCACCAGACGGTTCGCCGCGATGCCTCCGGCACCACCAATGACCCAGTCAAGGGAGGCAAACGTAGCCTGGTAAGCTGGGTAGAACCTATCGTGGTAAGTTGTATTTGCTTTCAGCTCAATGCCTAGCGAAGCGCACTTTTCATAGAAAGGTTTGATCAACGCCTCGTACTCGTCCACAGTTTTGTCGGTGGCGAAAAAAGGCCCCATGGACCACATGTAAGCGCCAGGCCCCAGCGACAGGATCGTAAAGAAAGAGTAGGTTTTGGCCTTGTTGTAAGCAGGCATGCTGTCAAAGTAAAACCTAAAAGCTTCCCAAAACTCGTCGCCACTGACAGTCTCGGATGTCATAATGGTCCAAGTGGATATGGTTACGGGGACCTTGCGATGGACCTTGACAACAGCAGACGTAACGACGCCAAAGGTGCCCCCACCTCCACCTAGCAGGGCCCAATACAGATCGCTATTTACTTCTGGTGTCGCAGTAACGAAGCGCCCACTAGCCAGTACGACTTCGAGCGCGAGAACCTGGTCAGAGCCGAGTCCGAAAAACTGCATCAGAGGCGAATGTCCACCACCGGCCGAGTAACCACCAGTGACACCAACTGTTGGACAGATACCAGCTACGGCAGACACACCGTACTTGTCAGCGGCCTCATATAGCTCGAATCCCTGAACACCAGCACCAAGCTTGAAAACCGGTCCCTTGTATGTAGGGCTCGCATAGTCCTTGACATACTTGATTTCTTTCAGTCCATGGGTCCAGATACTGAGCGCACCTTTTCCAACCGAACGGCCGTTATAATCGTGGCCGGTATTGCGAACAACTAGTCGGAGGTTCTGATTGCGAGCGAGATTTATCGCCAGCTGAATCTGAGCAACGTTGCTAACTTTGACGGCATACTCTGAGTAGCCACCCTGGGTGCATGTGCCATTTGCAGAATCACCGGAAGCTGGAATTGGGCAAGTCATGCCATACCACAGCGGATTCATCAGCGCACCATTGTCCTGGTAGCTAATCACGTTAGTTGCGCCTCGTGATGACACTGGATATACACATACTAAATCTCCTCGGTATTCCAATCCTTGACGAGCTCAGCGCATCTCGCAGCATCGTAGTTGTTGTATTGTGATTGCTTGTAGCAGGGCGAGCCGATGGGGATGATTTTCTCCAAAGCACCACCGAGGAGGGTATCGAACAAACTCCATTCGGCCTTGTTTGGGTACAAGGGATCTCCTGGCATTGTTTTGCAGCGGGGAGCTTCACGGGCGCGGCGGGTACGTGCAGACGGCCTAGTGTTCGGGCTGTCTCCAAATTCGAAAAGCGAAGCGTATTCGGCATATTCGTCGTGCTCTTTGATCGCTGCAATGACATTGTCGGTCAATTGCACTGTCTCTGTCTCAAAGAGGGACAGGTTTGCAGGCGTGACATTGATATCAACTATTTCTGCAGCCGGTGAAAGGGATACACCGGCTGATGCATTCTGTGCTGATACTACAGCTGCATAGACTGCTGAGAGAGCGATAGACTTTGCCAGCATCTCGGGCAAGAATTGCTGGACAGAGGAACGGTCGAGAGGAGTTGAAGAACGGATCCCTGGTGATTATCTCCCTGCAGCTCCAAAGATTTATACATCTACACCCTCGCTAATACCAATATGCTGGAGCGGAGGAACCTGCTGTTTCCATCGACAATACTTTATTAATTGCTTGGTCCGATGCAGTTTGACAGCAGTAGTGCGAAAACAGCTCATAACGGTTCGCTACCGTTGGGCAAAGGATCAAGGTGCCTTTCGCCTAGAACGCCATGGGCGACCGGGTAAGTAAACATCTGCCGGGAATACTGGACGCCTAGCACAGGGATGCACTTTATCGACCTGCATCCTTTGCTGTCAACATTCTCCACGTGTTGTCGACACCGTTTGCATTGTGGATCCTGCAAGACTGCAGTAGTATGCTACTTGCATAGTACCCTTCCTCTAGATCATCGATGCCCCAAAGTCTATGATAAAATTTTCGTTGATTTGAGAGAAATGCGGTGTGCATGACAATATGATGCCTACGCCGCAGTCTGTTTGACTTGAGTACTTTTCTTGTAGAACCACCTTAACGTAATAGTGGTGTGACCCGCCTCTCTAGGGCCCACTACCCCACCCAAGATACTGCTCTCCGCGGGCATTCCGGGACTTCTTTCGAGGGCGACCAAAAGAAGCTCGCTTAGCAGGGTCTCGTTTTTGTAAGTAGGTATGGCCTAGTGCTGATGTGTTGACTGTGTACGAATCAAGTAGTTCAGCCTCGACATAATTTGTTTTTTAAGCAAAGTTCGAATGCCTATCTGCAAATAGTTGAAGGCTAGACCTAACACTTTGAGCGTATACCAACATGTGAAGAAAGAAGCATGACAGGAAAAAGTTGTACAATATTTCGTTTTGCATACGTGGAGTTCTTTGGCGGGGTTCGATGGAGACCAACTCACCTTCTACGTACTATTCGATATTCAATCAAAGTTTCAAGAAGAGCTCCAGCAAACTCAACGAGCACCAGCCTTAAACTTGTTCCTGTGAGTTTCATATAGGTCGTTATTGCCGAAGGAAGCATCCGACGCTAGCGACAGTACTCGGCGGCATTCGGTGCCAGCTAACCCGCATGCGAGCATCGGCAATATTTCCGATCACCGAATAACATATCCGGGTTAGCGGCTTCCCCTCAAATACCCTCGCTGCGGTTGGCCAAACTTTAAGATAGGATCTCGACTTATACACGCCGAGTACAAGAAGCTAGAGCCATGTCGCGAATCAACGGAGCAGAGGTAGCAAAGCACCACAGCAAGAATGATTGTTGGATTGTGCTGGATTCAAAGGCGTACAATGTGACCAACTTCTTATCAGAACATCCAGGTGGCGCACCAATCATCTTAAAGAATGCAGGATCGGTGAGTGTATAGCGGTGCATAATGGGAGAATTTTCTGACAATTGAATAGGATGCGACAGAAGAGTTCAAAAAATATCATCCACTGAGCTATCTAGAAGATTACCTACCGAAGGAAGCCCTCATAGGACCCGTTGATCCAAACACCTTTGGCCAGCTTCGTCAAATCAAAGATACCAATTCCAGAAAGCCGTCAGACACGGATCCCAACTCCAATGAAATTCCTCATGTCAGTCTTTGCGTCTCCACGACTGACTTCGAACCAGTGGCAAAGGCAGTTATGCCCCACAAGTCATACATCTATGCCTCTGGCTCTGCAAACACGGGTGCATCAATCAAAGCCAACATTGATGACTGGAGTCGCATAAGTTTCCGTCCACGTGTGATGCGCAAAGTAGGCGAAGTAGACACGCGCCGCAAGATCTTTGGATATAGCTCACCGTACCCATTCTACATTAGCCCTATGGGAACAATGGGCGCGATTCACGAAGGTGCCGAGCTAGAAATGGTACGAGGAGCAGTCCGCAAAGGGATACATACGCTTGTCAGCACGGCAAGTTCCAAGAGCAGCGAGCAGATCATGCAGAGCTATGTCGATGAACAGAAGCGGCTTGGCAATGGAAGCCCGACGCAACTGTTCTACCAATACTACATGCCCGTAGACAAGGACAAAGCTCTCGAACTCATCCGCATTGTAAAGCGCTGCGGATACAAAGGCCTATGGATAACAGTCGATGCGCCCATTCTAGGAAAGCGCACCGCAGATCGCCACCTTCAAGCCGAGGAAGCGCTCGCAGTAGGCCTTGCTGATGAAGGTCCTGGGGACTGGGAGATTGGCGGTGACAACGCCTTTGCTCCTGCCATGGGCGGACGCCCAGTCCAAGGCCAGTTGACTCCGTATATGACATGGGACGACTTGGAGTGGGTCCGTAAAGAATGGGATGGACCCATTGTACTCAAGGGCATCCAGTGCGCAGAAGACGCAAAACTCGCAATGGAATATGGATGCGATGGTATCTTACTGAGTAACCATGGTGGTAGGCAGTTGCACACTGCGCCCAGTGCACTCATGACACTCCTAGAAATCCGTACCTACTGCCCAGAAGTTCTCAGTAAACTAGAAGTCTTCCTTGATGGCGGACTGAGAGATGGAAACGATGTGCTCAAAGCATTATGTCTGGGTGCTACGGCAGTCGGCGTTGGAAGGCCGTTCCTCTATGCGCTTGGTGCCTATGGCTCCAAGGGTGTAGAGAGATGTGTTGACAGTAAGTTTAAGCATGTGAGAGATTGGATGAAATTACTTTGCTAACGTTTCATTTAGTACTCGCGGATGAGCTCGACACTGGAATGCGCTTGCTGGGTATCACATCCTTGGATCAGTGTAGACCCGAGATGGTTAACGCAAGTCGCTTGTTGAATGAGATGTGGCGACCTGAGCAGTTGAATTTAAAGAGCAAGTTATAGATATAGAGTATATAGAAGCAACTTCGGATACATACTTTGATTGCGCTGTTGTGTGTGTTTGCAGCCGTGATTGTTCTGACTCTTGTGGTTTTGGTGGTATTTGCGGTGCGATCACAAGCCGTTGAAAAGCGAAAATCACTAATACCCCGCAACCCCACATTGACCGCAGATTTTTTTAGACACGACAAATTTTGATGGGTTCTCTTTGAAAAACAGTGTGTCTGTTGTGGCCAATATCACATCAATATGGTTGTTTACTTCTCAAAAACGCTTCAGTATATATTTAAACAAATTTACCTCTATTGCATCAAAACACCTTACGGTGAGATGGCCGAGTTGGTTATGGCGCCAGGTTAAGGTCTTCTTAACACTATATTCCTGGTCACGAAAGTGGCGTGGGTTCGAGTCCCACTCTCATCAGCATTCGTCTGCTTCAGCAGATACCCCAGGGTTCTTTTTTGCCAGTGTAGTAGTCTCTAAGATTTGACTACATGAATCCGTTATTTTTGCATGTTAGACTGAAACATGTGAACTCGATAGGATTTGTAATGATAGCACACAAATCTACCTTTCTCCCGATATCTATAAGCGTAGTTGCCTCACTTCTTTGCAACGGCAACGTGCGCAACCATAGGAAACCCAACCACTTCCACAATCTCCGCATCCTTCTTCCCATTCACAGGCCTGTTCATCGTAATAGCCTCCTTCCTCCCTTCAACAACAAGTTGCTTCCCAAACTCCACATACTCCTCCTCCGTCCACTTCGGCCCAACCTGCTTCCACATATCTACTAAGAACCCACACGTCTCCTCCAGACTCTTCCCCGCAAAATGCACAGTCACCTCGCTCATCTCCACACTTTCAAACCCGACTTTCCTCAATATTTCTTGGAGGTGATCAGCTTCATACCATTCTTTCGCAATCGGCCACTCAAACAACGGATCTTGCGGTCGCACGGCTTTTTGCGCGCAGTGTAAGATAGGCATGTAACCTGCGGACTTCCAGGTTGTGACGATGGCGGTGCCGTTTGGGGTTAGGGTACGGTGAATTTCGCGGGCGCCTTTTAGCGCGTCGGTGAAGAAGAAGATGCCCATGTTCGTTATCGAGTGAGTGAAAGATTCCGAGGGGAGTAGGTCGAGAGCATCGCCGGGGAGGACGTGGAAAGATAGGTTTGCGGCGTTTGAGGGAGTGATGGCGGGGATGGTGTGCTGGGCCAAGGTGATCATTTGTGGGGAGGAGTCGGTGCAGGTTATGGAGGGGGTGAGTGAGTGGTTTTGGAAGAGGACTTCCTGCGCGAGGATGCCGGGGCCGCAGGCGTTGTCGTGGATGTGAGAGGTGGAGGAGAGTGCGGGGAGGAGGGAGAGGAGGTAGGTGGCTAGTTGGCGGGTGCAGCCGCCGGTGGAGATTTCGTATTTTGATGCGAAGTCGGAGTAAAGGCTGTCCATTGAGGTTTTTGAGGAAGTCATCTTGGTGGATTTGGTTTGATTTAGTGGGGTGGGTAGAGGGTTGAATAGGTAGATGTTGAATGTAGTGCCTTGAATGTGGGCTTGAGGCGAGTTTAAATATCTAGAGTGTTGATAAGGGAACCAGAGGGGATATTTTGGGGTACTATCACTTTAGGACATGTAGACTTCATGTAAGTAAGCTGGTGCTCGTATGGATAAGTCTCCGTCGCGCGGGGACTGTAGCTCGGATACTTTACACATGGAAAGTTTCCGACGCTACGAAGTCTCGTGTACGTGCACAATATGCATACAGAACATTTTTTCTGGTCACTCAGGTACTAAGTGAAAACCAATCATATTAGCCGTCTCCAACGAAAGTGCGATGTTAACAGCAGATCTTACACGTAGTACCATAGTACCTACAAGCCACGACTCTACAACCCCCATCCCCTACGATCCAGGAAAAAAAGCCGCTACAATCTCACATCCTCCTTAAACCTAACTAGTCCATCCTGAAAAGTAGTCGCAACATGCACCCCCCTCTCATAATCCCACATCCGACTCATATACAGCGCCCGCCCCTCCGCCGCCCGCGTAACCCACGACTCCTGCACAAACCACTTCCTCCCATCCGTATCCCCCTTCCCATACCCCTCGAGATTACACACCGGCAAAGGCCCGTCGTTCCGTAACGTAGGATCAGCGTCAGGATGATCGACCCGCGGTTCAGGAGCCATGACGAGATCGCAGATGCCCGTGTGGAAAATCACACTGTGGCTGAGCGATGCCATGCGCGTGAAGTCGCGGGGCTTATCCAGGTGGCGCGGAACGATTTGTGGGGATTGGCAGTCTGAGGCGTAGAGATGAGTGCAGGCGTGCATGTTTGCTTCTCTGGTCAGATTTATTTTCCTGGGATCTGACGGAGGTGGGAATGGTGCTGTGGGTAGTGGTAATGATCCTCGCAGCGAGTAGAACGTTAATTGCTTTCGGTCGAGCGGTGCGCGGGTACGGTTGTAGTTTGCCATTTCGACTTTTCGGAGGTGCAGGCCGGGGATTGGGTTGAAGTGGTCTGGGTGGGCTGGGAGATAGTCTTCGACGAATACGGCGGAGTCGTTGCTGGGGGTTGGGGAGTGTTGCATTGGTTCGTTTTCTCGGCCTTTTAGGGCTTCGTGGTACATTTCTTTTAGGTCGATGTGCTCTTGGGCATCGACTGATGCGCTTTCTTCGCGCTTGAAAGAGCATGTGCATGTGAATGTGCTGCTTTTCGCTGCAGCTTGGCTCACAGTTACGTTGCGGGAGCAGTAGTTGTAGCCATCGCGGATTTTCTCTACGCGGTATGTGAAGTGCTCATTGGGGTTTCCAGCAAGGTTGAACCAGCCGGTGATATTCTAGTAGGCCAGTCAGCTGGGTTGTGACAGCTGAGACTGCGGCTGCAACTTGCATGTATTAGGAATCCCTCTTTCACTGTTTGTGCTGCAGCCCATGCAGCTTGCGCAAAGATATGACCGCCATACGTCCCATTTTCTCCGCCTGTTGGTGAGTAGCCTTTGGTTATTGAGCGGAACGTCAACTCGTCGATTTGTTCGAGCTCTATGAGTTTGTCGAAAGGAAGTACTTTTCTTTCTTTGGTAAAATACGGACGGACGACCATGATGCTACCGAGAATGAACACAAAGATGAGACATGGATGGTTACTAGTACGGTTTTGATGGTGTATTATACCAGCCTAATCAAAGTACCAACAACAGGCTTCAGCTCACAGATATGAGCTGAGCTAGCAAGTTACCTCGGATTACGAGTAATAGTCGAGACGCGGGGTCGGATAACAATAGAAACAAGCCAATCATCTCAGCTGCGCCAAGCTGATCGGGTTACGTACACAAAAGAAATATATTTTCTCATTTATCCAGAATCGTGCAGCTAGTACATTGACTCGGAGACATCCTTACGTGCAACGTGGCTTAGCGCCTTTAGAGATATATACAACAATCGAATTTTCAATGCATGCACTAGCTTGATATAGCCTATCTTCTATTTAGAAACCACAGCCTCAGGTAGTAAAATATGAGACCAATACACCATATAGCCACAAGAACAACAGCTTGTATAGGTGCAAAAACAGCGCCGCGAACGACAACAAACCCGCTGATCACTGCAAATATAATAGGTACGAGGATTAAGGGTTTTACAGGTCTAGGCAGCTCTGGTTCCCGAAAGCGCAGGATTATTGCGCCAAGGACTGTAAGGAAGAAAAATGCATACTCGGCAAGACCATTGAGTGTGAGCAAGACACGCATGTTTCCAAGCAATATGTAAATTGCAGAGAGGACGGTGTTGAGAATTAGTGCGTTGCTAGTGACAATCAGAAGGCGTTCAGGGTACTCAGTGGATATCACTTACATTGGTGACTCTCCGTTGTCCATTGCAAGGTCCGCTGATTCACTTTCTTCGGCATCGTTTCGGACTTTGAATGCGCCGATATACCCGACTGTACCAAGAATAGGTGGGAACCAGTTGTTGTTAGCCGCCGCTACAGTCATTCTTCCAGCAACAAAAGAGTTGCCGAGGGCGGAACCGGCAATGACTAGACATATCAGGGCGGTAGCAAAGTATGCCACACCTTTTCCTAGAAAATGTGTGACAGCCGTCTACATAGAGTCAGCAAGGATTCGGGTACACAGGACTTTCTGCGATACTTACCACAGCGGCAGCGTCAGTTGTCGACACCACTTCCCATGGAAGTAGAACATAGTAAACAGCATTGGCCGCTACGTAGCAAAGAATAATGGTCGGAATAGCAGTGTTGATGGAAAGTGGCAGCTGGCGGCTGGGATTGCGAAGCTCAGCTGCAACATAATTGGCCTTGTCCCATCCAGAGTAAGCCCATAGAGCCCCATACAGCGCTGTGCTATAAAAGCCTAGTGATTCCCACGTGGTCACTTTGGTCCAGTCAAATCGCGAACCATCAGGTAGTACTGTATCGCGTGGCGAAAACCAGTTGTTCTGATGCCAATCACCGCCGCCTAGGTCCTTGCTCTTTCCGAGGAAAACAAAGGCGACAACCAATCCAGCGACTATGAGAAGAAGGATTGTGAGCAGCTTTATGGCGACAAAGAAGCTCGACAACCGAGTGCTCGTCTTGGTGCTGATGGAATTGAGAGTCGTAACGCAGACCAAAACAAGCAAAGACAACAGCTTATGAGTCAAGGGTGGATCCGGTTCGTTAATACCCAGGCTGGAGTATATAGATTCAACGAATACAATACTGAGAATCGCAAGGGTGGCTGGCATAGTTGCAACTACCCAAGACCAAGCCGCCATGTACCCAAACACATCGCCATAGATGTAGGTGAGGTACGGTTGGATGCCGCCCTCGCCAGGAAACGCAGTCCCCAGCTCAGCCATGGTGAGCGCACCCGTCCAAGCAAGGATACCTCCGACAAGCCATACCAAAAGACCGGCACCAGGGGATGGAACGTTTGCGTCGATAGGTCCAGGAGATGAAAAGACGCCAGATCCGATAACGATGCTTATCAGTAGAGCAAAGCCGTCCAGTGCACCGAGATTGCGAGCAAATGTGCTTCGAGGTACTGCGGTTCCTTCATGTTCTTCGTCGGGCTCGTAGGAGGTAGTCGATTCCTGACGGAGTAGGGGCGCCGTCTCCGAGGGTGCCATTGTCGTGTTTTAGAGGCGTAGAAAGAGTAGCAGGTTATAGTACTACAGTCGTGCCGAAGTGATTGCGCATCAGTGCGTAATATAAGCTGAAGCCTACTGGGCTCTGCTGGACGCGTCTGAAATTGATAAAAGCCAAGTGTTGTTGTCCCACTATCCTATGATTGTTGCTAATTCGAGGGCCGAGGTGCAAATGTTCAGACGGCTAGACAAGGCACACGTTGAGGCGCGACATTATCGCGTCAAAACGGAGCTATGTTACGTCATCCCGAATTCACACGCCTATCTCATGCAACAAGTTGCAAAACAGTGTGCAAACATTTTCACATGGAATCTTCATCATAATTACATGTTTTAAACGCATGTATAGAGTTACCTTTTATGATTTTCTACAACAATTGTTTTCCGCGCTGCTCTCCATTTCGCCTCAAATTTGAATGGTTACAACGCTCGTATTACAGCTATTTTGAAGCCTGATAACCCTCCATTGGCACTGGTCCCAAGGGCCCATTTCAATACTACCATCATGTGATGAGAGTAAATTAGACGAGCATGTTAATTCGGCTCGTCGGGCTAAGAATATGCACAGATCTATACGACAAACATCTTCGCGTAAAACATGGAGAGCAACGCGCCTGGTGACATCATTCAGCCGCTCGCTGGGTCTGGAACAGTTTGTGGACAGACACGAAGCAGGGCATGTGACAAGACAAATAGCGAAAACGAGGAGAGAAAAGAAAACCAAGAACGCATGCACACATGCGCGCATGCGACTTGCAATTCACTGGATCAGGTTCCTTGGATCGATGGCAAGTTGGGTAGGTTGTTCGATTAGAAGTAGGTGGGATTCTAGACATTTTTCGAGTGGCACTAGATCAGATTCCGCGAATTCCACGTTTTCCATGTCAAACTGCATCATTGCAATGGATCCACGAGGGTTCGCCATGTAATTCGTTTACACTGGATAGAGATTTAGAAAAGGCGGGGTGGTGGAGTTTGAATGGTTACCAATATGACGGACCAATGACGCTCGGTGGGTCCTTCGGGACCTAGTAGCTGCTCCCGGCTACCCCAGGGCTTAGCGCTGCCCATCATCATGGCGACGTCACTCCCAGGACGACGAGCAGTTTGCTACAAGAGATTTCAAGGGCCTTTAAATCTCTGGGTCCCTTCTAAATCTTCCAAATTCACTCCTCCTATCAAGATACCCAATTTCTCCTCGCCTTTGTTTTCAAAAATACCCTCATCGATACCATTTCAACCAGACCCATTCACATACATCTCAAAATGTTTTCAAGACAAGCAACGCAGAATGCACGCTTTGCGGCTCGCTGTGCACGTCGCCCGGCTGCTCGCGTAGCAAATCCCCAGTATCGCGCCCAACACCCGCGCTTCCAGTCAACCCAGACAGCTAGCTCCGGTAACTCGGGTGCTGGTACACATGCCGCAGTTGGTGCTGCTTCTGGTGCTCTTGCCGCTATCACCGTCGGCTATATCTTTTACAGACAATCGGGTGCCCGGGAAGTTGTCGTGGCCTCCAAGACTGCACAAGGCTACGTCAAGTCGGCTTCACAAAAGATCAAGGAGCAGACTCCCGAGCCAAACGAGGCGCTACAATGGCTTCGTCAGGCCGCTCAGAGTTATGCTGCGTTCATCCCAGGTGCTAAGGGCTACGTTGACTCTGCCTTTGATGATCTCGATGCCATACGAGCGAAGCACGGCAACGAAGTCGACAACATTGTGCGCGAAGCATACGATGAGATGCGACAAGTTCTTGGCAAAGGCGACATGAGCCTTGTCACTGCACACCAGACCTGGGACGTCATTACCAAGCACATGAGCCGCATTGCAGACCTTGCCGGCGACGCTTCACAGCAAATCATGGACAACCACCCACAACTGAAGGAGAAGTTGGGCGGCAACATCGACAAGCTCAAGGAGTACGGCGACAAGTATGGCCCTGAAGCAAAGAAGGAAGTCGACAGGACCTGGAAGCAGATCAGTGACGTTGTCAAGACTGGTATGAGCGCCGGTAACATTGAGAAGATCAGGAGCATAGTGCAGGAGAAGATTGAGAAGCTGAACAAGATGGGTGACGAGGCGTGGAAGAAGGGTATGGAGCAGGCAAAGCCTTATCTTGACAAGAATCCACAAGTCAAGAAGCTTGTGGAAGAGAATGCCGATGCGCTGAAAGGAGGCAACGTTCAAGAGCTGTACCAGCGCGTCAAGTCAGCCGTTGAGAAGGGCGACACCGGTGACCTTCAGTCGTACATCAAGAGCGTCGCAGACAAGGCCAAGGATGGTGGTTTTGGCGACTACGAGCAGTACCTCAAGAAGATTCCCGGTGGTGACCAGATACTACCCAAGCTGAGCCAGCTTCAAGAAGTGGCCCAGAAGCATGGCGATGAGGCACAGAAGCTTCTCAAGGAAGCCGTTTCGGAGATCTCGGAGATTCTGCAAAAGAAGGGTGACGAGGCACAGAAGCTTGCTGAGAAGGCCAAGGAGGACTCGAAGAAATAGAGTATTGACCTCGGTTAGTGAGCGTGGGGAGGAATGCTACAAAGCCTGCATCTGTACTCTAATGTATTATCAGCATCCATTGCATCAAAAGCAAATGATATGAATGAAATAATTCAACACTAAGACATGCGTGAACAAGCACTACTCTTGGACTATCAATACTTCCCTACCTCGCATTGCGCTTTGGCCATTTGGAAGTGAACAACTTCGAGCAGGACGTGCATCTTGTATCAAGGCTGTTGTCCGTATAGTTTAACAATGAGAGTTCGCGCAAGCCATGTTTACCTATTGGCTGAGTGCATTTCTACACAACCATGGCCGGTGCAACGTGGAGGACACAACAGGCCCGACCCACGGGACGCATGTCAAGAGTGGGAACAGCTGAGTTCTTGCTGTAAAGGTAACAGTCCTGAGGAGAGGCTCCGGATCTATAAGGGAAATTGATATGCACGGATGTACGCGAGGTGGCCAACTACGAACAATAAGCGACCGGATGAGGGCGGCACAGGTCCGATACATTGGACAAGGTAAGGATGTTTCATCTATGCCGTGGTTGGGCATGCGGTGCTCAACCATGCTTTGGAGTAAAGTGCTGATGCCTGAATACGATCCAAAGGACCAAGTATTGACGAAACAACAGCCTCTCCGCATTGTGGCTGCATGGAGACGTAGGCGGGGATGCACGCTTGCCACTGCCTGCATGCAGGAACTGCTCATTGCGCACACCGCAGGCTGTGCCAGAGGCATTAGATTTGCCCATGCGGGGTGAGGCGATGCCCATGGTGACATGTCGGGCCGCGTGGATTCTGTTGATACAGACGTAGTGGCCAAATGAGCAAACGAAGCATCCGGTGAAGTAGGCCAGCGAAACCGCAGTTCCCGCGCTATAGTCAAAGACAGTGAAGGTAGTGGACGCAGGTAAAAGACAGCCGGCGTACGGGAGAGAAGATGCGAGAAAGGTGACCCCACCACGTTGCAGACAGGCGGGTGTGGTGGGGGGGAGGCCAAGGTGAGAGCAAAGTGGTGAGAGAAGTTACATGCGTCCCACCAATGGCCTGCGCACGCTCCACCAGATTGGCCAATGACGTAGGTGCGCCTGCCCGCTGCTGCATCGCCGCCGCCCTCCCATGCCTGACACCCGGCAGGCGCGCTCACTGCTGCTTATTTACTTGAGTCCCAACAAGTCCCTCGAGGTCCTTATCTTCTCTCTTCCTACCTCCACACTCAACACTTTACCAGGCTACTTTGAGCAGTCAGTTAGCAGCACTGATAACCCACCCAGCCTCGATACAAGAACACCACAGCAACCATGGGCAAGGTAAACACGCACCCCCACCTTGAAAATGTACCCCGCCAGCACCCCGCTAATCCATGTATAGGCAAAGTACATCATGCTCGACTGTGACAACACGCTCGTCCAGTCTGAGCGCTACGCCTTCGAGGCCTGCGCTGACCTCACCAACGAAGTCCTCAGCAAGCACAACATCGACGCCACATACACGGCCGAGACGCTGCTTGAGGACTTTGTCGGCCACAACTTCCGCGGTATGCTCAACGGCCTGCAGAAGAAGCACAACTTCCAGATGCCGCCTGAGGAGATGGACGACTACGTCCAGCAGGAACTGGGCGCTGTCACTCGCAAGCTGAGCCAGAAGGCGGTTGAGTGTCCTGGTGTGACTGAGCAGCTCAAGTGGCTCAAGGAGCAGGGCTACCCCATGGCCGTTGTGTCGACTTCAGCCAAGAGCCGTGTTGTTGCATCGATCGAGAAGGCGGGCATCGACCACTTCTTCCCCAACGAGCACGTCTACTCGGCTGCCACCTCGCTCAACCCGCCCTCGTCCAAGCCTGACCCTAAGATCTACCTGTACGCAGCCGAGCAGCTTGGTGTCAAGCCCTCGGAGGCTGTAACGGTCGAGGACAGCAAGAGCGGTGCGACGGCTGCCATGCGCGCCGGTATCCCCTGCATAGGATACGTCGGCATCTACGGTATCGAGGAGGGCAAGGAGAAGATGGAAGAGATGGCCAAGCTCCTTACGGAAGAGACCAAGTGCGCGGCCATCATGTACGACTGGAAGGACTTCCCAGAGTGCCTCAAGAAGGTTGAGGCTTCCATGTGAATGCATGGTAGAGCACCAGGCATGACGAAGATCTGATGAGCTCGATACGCCACTGCGGACGAGACTACGACCATTGACAGCTTCTATGAGTATATACATTCGATAATGAATATTTGATGGGCATGATGCCCTCTAAGGAGCTATTTCAGGGTGTTGTTTGTGTTGTTTGGGTGTGATGTTTACAGGTTTTGACATGTGACGCAACAGTGGAACCCTGCGACGTTCGGTAGCGGACGCGACGTGACGGCCCAACGTTGCCCCGCCGTCCCCACCAGCTCACGATCGAAAGAGTAGACTGGACTGCACCAAATGGACAAGACTTGATGGACCAGTTCAAATTGGCGTGGTTCGTCCGCACTACGGGGCGTTTTCTATTGGATGTTTGTTTGCTGGGCCAATTAGCAGCAATCCGATGCAGCGACGAAAAAAACTCATGTGCAGCTCCATTGGGCAGAAAACTCAGTCATCACGAGGTATTCGGACAGCATGGCTTTTGCACTACTCCAAGTACATACTTACATACATGAGTATGTATGGAGAGTGCGACGCTGGGCTGGCGACGATTTTCGCCACAGCGTGGAACTCCGAGGATATTGACAGCGATGCACTCATATTCCTATTCCCATGACATTGCTGGGTGGTAACACATGTCGGCAAAACGGCAAGCATAGTTATTGCCAGCCAAAAGCAGTGCTTCTCAACAACCTTGGCGTGCAAAGGCTAGTGCGTGCGGGCATCACGTTCTCTGCCCTGGGACACGCCGTCTGCGAGCAATGCGAGCGATGCGACATTGGAATTGCCCCTCTTGGGATCGTGCGCGCAACGCGTTATCTTTGGCGTTTTGACGATCGCGCTCTTGGCAGCTTTATTCCGCCGCTGGATAGGAAGAATTGACAGCAGCCAAGACATCTTAGACGAAGCCTCCTTCCCGAACCGTGCACCCATCCGCAATTTAAGCTTTTGCTTAATCTAGCAGCCCCAATGCTCCTCTCCATAGGCCTGCCTGCCCTGGCTATACAATGCTTCGTATCCTTACCATGCGCCGCCTGTGCACCCACACCACTGCGTACCATGGGTCACTATGCCGATGGCAGCATCCAAAGGGGGCAGGTAGCCTCTAGACCTGCCTCGTTCGCCATAGGGGTTGCATTGTAGTCATTTGCCATGTACGAAGTCTCCATAGCAGACAATGGACATTTAAGACCGTCCGTGGGCCTGTAATGCCTCGAGCACCGCTGTCTTGTTGCCTCTCAAGCCACCGCAAACATGTTCCTACGCACAGCTCTCCTCTCGCTGACCGCCCTTGCGGCGGCAAAGGAAATGCCCAAAGACGAGCTTAGGGCCGCCCAGCTCTATGACTCTGGCATCAGGCACGAGAACAACATGGCCCTGAAGAAGGTTGCGACCCCGTTCCGCTATGCTCGGCTTTGATGCTAATCAGTAACAGGAGTCATGGGCCAAACAAGAGGCTGCGGGCATGTACAACTCTGCCCAGTTCGCCGAGGTCAAGAACAAGGTCGAGTGCATCAATGGAACTGCTATCACCGACACCGATGTCTTCAAGTGCAAGAACGTTAGTGAAAATAGTCCCCTAGCCGGATTAGCAACAATTGACCTATGATTAGATTGATCTCCTCCACTTCTTGTCGCATGCCGAGCTCGGCAGTACCCGTGGTGTCGGATCGTCATCGTGGGGTAAGTGATATGCATACCCTTTAAAATGGCCAATGCTGATGACTTCCAGGTTGGACCTCGGACGATGGTCGCGAGTTTGTTGCAATCGGACAGCAAGATGGTGCTGCGTTTGCTGAGATCAACAAGGAAGGCAAACTTGTATACCTTGGACGTCTTCCAGCATACTCGACCCCCAGCACCTGGCGTGAGATCCGTGGCCAGAACAACCTGATGATCATCGGCAGCGAGGCCCAGGGACACGGTATCCAGATCTTCGACATGAAGAAGCTGCTCACAATCAACCCGGCTTCCCCGAAGGTCTTCAGCAACTCCAAGGATCTCACTGGCCACTTCAAGGGCCTCCCCAGCGGTCGAGCTCACAACGTCGTAACCAACCCCGAGACCAACTTCATCTACGCCGTCGGGGCGCAGCCCAGGACCGACAAGTGCAAGTCCGGTATCATCTTCATTGACATCACCGACCCTTCCAACCCAACCACCCCTGGATGGTAAGTCTGGAAACCTGGACATCCTCAACACGCAGCTGACATTGTATCTCAAGTGCGTCGCAAGACGGTTACGTGCACGATGCTCAGTGCCTTATCTACCACGGTCCCGACAAGCAGTTTGAGGGCCACGAGATTTGCTACGGTTACAACGAGGACTCACTTTCCATGCAAGTTAGCACTTACGATCAAACGAGCAGCACTGACAAGGCCCAGTTATGACGTAACGAACAAGAAGGCTCCTGTCCTCCTGTCCGTCACTTCCTATGAGGGTGCAGCATACACCCACCAGGGCGCTGTCTTGGACCCCAAGAACCAGAAGTACCTGCTTCTCGACGACGAGTACGATGAGTACGACAAGGTTGGCCCCGGTATCCCAGGAAACCCCATCACCTACATCTGGGACATTTCATCTCTGCGCGCACCAAAGCAAACCGGACTGTACAGGAGCGGAGCCAAGGGCGTCGACCACAACCAGTATGTCGCCAACGGTTTCGCATACCAGTCCAACTACGGCACTGGTTTCCGTGTCTTGGACGTCCGCTCGATTCCCCAGGATCCCACCGGTGCTGGTGTTAGGGAAGTCGGCTTCTTCGGTAAGTTGTTTTCGCCACCTTGCTATTAAAGAACATCAAAATTGATTATGATAGATATTTACCCCGAGGATGACAACATGCCCGGAGGCGGCAGCGTTGACTTTGTTGGAACTTGGTCGAGCTACGCGCTCTTCAAGAGCGGCCACATCCTAGTCAACACTATGGAGCGTGGCGCATTCGTTGTCAAGTTGCAGGCGGGTTTCGACAAATAAGCAAAGAAGGAATAATGATAATGATGGTCTGGACTTTCTTGTATCTAATCGAGACATTGTGGTTCTGTAAATATCTGTCGGTCCTAATCGTATTCGGCTGGTGCGAGTGTGGCTTGACTTATCAATTCGTAATTTGGCCAAACCTACTCGGCTCTATTCCTTTGCCCGCTTTTTTGATCATATACCCATTGCCAAGTCCAGCGCATGATAGCCGTAAGTAGTAGCGTAGAGGACGGCTACCGAGGCTCAGTTTGAACTGGCACAGCAAGCCACTTTAGTCACACATTGCATATTCTTTTGATCAGAATGAGAACAGTCCGCTGCTAAGCCGAGGGCTTCTCGAAGTGTTCCAGTAGCGGGGTCGTCGTTTTGCCGCCTCCATTATCATCCGCCCTGATTTTGGCGCTATCATGCCAAGGCGATTCGACGGGGAATGGATGCTTCTTGGCGGAGAATGAATTCTTGGCCGCCATCTAACTTCCCAATCAAGTGTCGTCTGGCCGTGAGCTAGGTATGTCCAAGAGATGATGCGGCTATTCTCCTTCCTCATACAACACAGCATCACGCAGCCAAGTCGACCTTCATCAATTTCGTCGCCTTCGCCCCCAGCCCTTCACCCGGCTACCCGTCACCAATAACCCACAGCATGCCTTGAATACCCATTTCCCGGTTCCCGAACAGTGGCCAACTAGCGGTCGCAATAGCAGCTGCCTGAACTGGTTAGGCTAGGGAGCACGCGACTATCCTAGTCCAACTCTCATAGTCGTTTATGAGGACGTCAGCCAGAGTATATAGAGCCATGCAATTCCGGTTGCATCTGTCACGACAGCCTTCTCAGTCTTTGCTCATCCCTCGTTTTCAATATTCAAGATGAGGTTCGTTCCATTCGTTGCGCTCGCTGCGCCTGTCCTTGCCCAGGTCGGTCCCAAGCCAAACCCAAACACAAAGCCCGGCAAGCCTGGAAAGCCTCACGACAAGCCTAAGAAGCTTGTCACTCCCAAGGATCTGATCAAGGACATCAAGCTTGAGGATCTGCTCAAGGGCTCCCAAAAGCTTCAAGACATTGCCGACGAAGCTGGCGGTAACCGTGCTTTTGGTGGCACAGGGCACAACGCGACCACCGAATGGTTGTACCAGACTTTGTTGGCCACTGGTTACTATAACGTGTACAAGCAGCCATTTGTTGAGCTTTTTACCGCTGCTACGACCAAGTTCACTGCTGGTGGTGAAGAGATTCCCGTCTCTTACATGACCTTTGGCCCTTCTGGCGATGCCACTGCCAACATTGTCAAGGTTAACAACCTGGGATGCGCCGCCGAAGACTACCCTGCTAGTGTTTCTGGCCAACACGCACTTATCTCCCGAGGCACTTGTGCCTTTTCCCAAAAGTCTACCCTAGCAAAGGCTGCTGGTGCTGTAGGCGCGCTCATCTACAACAATGAGCCAGAGCAGCCCCTCTCAGGTACACTTGGAGGTGCGGGCGACTACGCTCCTACTGTCGGCATGACCAAGGAGGCTGGAGAGGCTCTCGTTGCTAAGCTTGGAAACGGTACTGCGCTCGAGGGAACTCTCTTCGTCGAAGCTATCCAGGAAAACCGCACCAACTACAATGTCATTGCTGAGACAAAGGAGGGTGACCACAACAACGTCCTCATGATTGGTGGCCACACCGACTCCGTCTACCAGGGTCCTGGTATCAACGACGATGGATCTGGTACTGTTGGTACTCTGGTCGCTGGTCTTGCTCTCACAAAGTACAAGATCAAGAACGCCGTTCGTCTTGGTTTCTGGGGCGCCGAGGAGTTTGGCAAGCTTGGATCCTTCTACTACATGAAGACCATCAACGGTACTTTCGGTGGCAGCACCGCGGAGGCCAACAAGATCCGTGCCTACCTCAACTTCGACATGATTGCCTCGCCTAACTATGTCCTCGGTATCTACGACGGTGATGGCAGTGCCTTCAACTTTTCTGGCGCAGCCGGTTCCGACAAGATCGAGAAGGACTTTGAAGAGTTCTACGAGGAGCGTGGCCTTGCTCACGTTCCCTCCCTCTTCACTCTCCGCTCTGACTACGCTGCCTTCCTCGAGAACGGCATCCCCTCTGGCGGTCTCTTCACGGGTGCCGAAGTCCTCAAGACCGAGGAGGAGGCCCAGCTTTTCGGTGGTGAAGCCGGCAAGCCCCTCGACGGATGCTACCACCAGGCCTGCGACGACATCAACAACCTTGCCCACGACGCCTACCTCCTCAACACCCAGAGCATTGCCAACTCCGTTGCCAAGTACGCCGTCTCTTTCGAGGGTATCCCCAAGGCCAACGCTACCCTCCGCAAGCGCGGTGCTGAGTCGGCGAGGTTCATGAGCAGGTTCGACCACGGTGGCCATGAGCACCTCGGTCAACCATGCGGTGCTGGAAAGCACGCTATTTAAATTTCATGTCTATAATGATTGTTGGGGCGAAGGAAATGACGAGATGATACCATGAGAGAAATCTTTTGTAAAAGTAGATGAAGAATAATACCCATTTTTTGTTCATTTTGACTTGTCTTCTGCTACTCTTAGTCATTGAATGCTGTAAAACTTTTGGTTTCTATTTGTTAGTTTTCGTAGTTGTGTTATATTGCTGTTCTGATATTAGGGCTAAGCCGTCTAGCCATGCTCACCCAGCCAATTAGACAAAAGACATCTAGTCCGCTTCTCCAACACTTAAGCTTGATACTTCCCAGCTTCCACATCAGAAAGCACAAGTTTTAAAAAAAGAACTCTTCCAATCCAACTACAAACACATAGCAGGCTGCACCCTCCTTTATTACCACTCTCAAGTCGAACAAAAAAAGAATATACATTGAAAATCTCCTACCCACTCTTCTCTACTCCTCCAAAAGTCCGACCGAGATCAAACTCCCTCCCCTCAGTAATATAGGGAAGGGAGAAGAACCCCAGACAACCAGCTTCCACCACCGCTTTCCACCTTCTTTCCCCTCCACAAACCCCACGATTCGCGACACTCAACAACTGATACACTGGAACACCCCGTATCATGCTCCTATTCACGTATACATTAGTTTCTATATACCTTTTGCATTCAAAAAAACCCCCTTGACATAATCCATTTCTACCAATAAAAAAAGACTGAATCTCTTCACCAAAAGAAAGAAAAGAAAGGGAAAAAAGAAAGAACGTAGAAACAGAGGGAGGAGAGGGAAGATGAGTAAGTAAAAGGAAAAAAGCGGGGAACCTACGATTAAAATGGAGTACTGATTATTTAGTACCGGGACAGGCGATTGGGAACATGGTGCATAGGTCGACTTGCCGGCGCTGTGAGGAGTTAGTTATATGCGTGTGATGGAAAGAATGGGGTGGGGAAAGGACGAACTTCGGGGAGAACTTTGGGGAGATCTTCGGGGAGAGCTCCGGGGACAGGGTCAAGTGTCATTGAGGAGGGCAGCGGCGCCGGAGTATTGCCGGCGGGTCTGGCCTGGACGCTTGAGGCGAGGATGAGGGAGGTTAGGAGGAGGAAGGAGTTCATGTTGAGGTTTTGGATGTGGTTGAGTTTGGGTTGGGTTGGTGAGGGAAAGTAGTTTGGTTGATGGGATGGAGATAGGGAATATGTTTCGGAGTCTGCCTTTTATATATTACTCTTCTATAATCCGTATTTGGCAAGTCTTTTGAGAGAGTGCTTTTTGTGTGTGGCTTTTGTCTATCAATATTTGGCAGGTCTTTTGGGGGCGCTTTCGGAAGTTTTGGTTGGAGAGGCAGGGAAGATCGTCCTTGACTCCTGGGATGGTTTATAAGCGAAATGTTCATATTGAATGGGCTGATTTTGGAGCAAACCGGCTCCTAGGAGATGTCTTTTTTTTGGATGCTTTTGGTCAGCTGGATGGCTTGGCGAGGAAGCCACTTTTCACCAAAAATCTTCCCATAATACTTGAATGTCCTATTTGAGAAGAACTTTGCGTCATCTAGTTGATCCTTATGTCTTTGACATTTGGTTTCGTGGAGTGGGTTGCTTGCGTGTCGTTTCTTAGGAAGGCACATGGAGATGTAACATCAGATGCCGATTTATGATTGAATGTACTCCTAAGGATTTATTTATGAGATTTTACGATCCTCTGGATTAATACGTCAGTTGTAGGACATCAAGTCTAGTGCAGCATTCTGCTTGCAGATTTTCCCTGTCAGCGTACACATACGCGATGTACAATCTACGAGATAGATATGCATGAGTGAGTTAAGTCTTACCAAGATGCTAAGTCATAAAATCGGCTCGCAGAGGTAGCGGGTATGAAGTTGTAGAACCTCCGTCTACTTGCCTAAGATATCTTGATATCTTACCTTTAAATATGCATACACATGGTTCTGTGTCATGACTGCAACATCACATTTAAATGACGACAAGGACGGCGAAGAATCCTGAATCGCATCACATTCTCATTCTTGCATTAGATTTACGAGTTTCAATTGTACAACCCGCCTTCCAGATTTATTTTGTTTTCATCTGTTATACATAGGGGACTCGAATCACCTACTGCAACGTAGGATTGGGAGATGGATAATACTGAGGACTATCATTGATAAAGGACACTGCAAAATGACAAGCAGTAAAATTTGGCAAACTTGGCGCCACATGGAAAGCATACCCCCATTACATATGCTGTTGTGAATAGCACTGCTTACGCGCGCTACAACCAACGACCAGCTGCAACATGTATCTTTTTTCTCACTCCTATTCATCATCTACACTAAAAGAAAATCGTAAAGTAAGAGCAGTTCGAATAAGCTTTTGCCAAACTTTATCACCTTCCTCTACTAATGCAATGCACGTAAGCGCGCGAAAGTTTCCAGTCTTTGTGCAGGGCAGGCGGGGAGGCAGGGGCGGCGGGGGCGGAATGTTTCTAGAGCACGGAACAAGCGTGTACCCTGATGGCTGCCACGCAACATCATCATGTCATCACGTTTTATTACAACTAATTCGCCATTCGAAATCTTTTCGTAAAGAAACATGTATCTCGTTACTAATAACACACAATATGAAATCTATCAGACCCCTCCTCTAATACTAACACGAGCAGTCAGTATTCCAAGTCGCACGACACAACACACACGTCGCATCCCTCCCAGCATCTGCACAATGCTCTCTCCAAATCTCAAAGCAGATCTTATGCACACTTTGCCCACACCCGTCTTTACACCACACTGTTCCTTCTTCTTCAGCCTCTGATCCCGCACCCGAGCTCATCACCAGTGCATCAAGACATATCGCGCACGCCGTGTCACCGGATCGCCGCGGAACATGATGACAACCTTGGCAGTCGCACTCGTCATCCCAGTCTGCACGACAGATAACGCAGGTAGGGGTTTGACCATCCTGTTCGCGTTGTGTGCGCCATATTTCGAAGCAGGATTTGTGGACTGGGCGGCCGCAGCTGGATTTGCACCAGACTATGTCTGTAGCGAGACATGAAGAGAGAGGACCGCCTTCGTGGCAGATTGGGCAGGGGTCGGAGAGGAGGATGCGGCGGACGTGGGGACGGGCGCAAGGCTGTGGTTGGGGAGGGGATGGTAATGATGTGAGGGGTTCCGTTGCGTCGTCTTCTGCTGATGAGGGTGTAGCTGTTCTTGAGATCTGAGAGATAGAACTTGGCGGGGTGATAGTCTGATGTGTCGATTCTGTGGAATCACTGGTTGATGAAATGATAGTGTGCTCGCTCGAGTCAGACGGTATCGAGGAACGTCGGGACAGCGCTGGTGAAGAGATTTCAGATACTGAGGTGCTAGTCATGGATGTTGTCTGGATTGGTGGATGATTGTTCGATACGATCGCCAGGAGTTCATTCGTACATCTCCTCATATCCCGGAGGTTTTCAAGATGAGGAGGTGTGGCAGACGATATAGAAGATGCCACTGTGTGGGATGGCGATGGATCGCTGACTGGAACCCTGCCAGTAGGGAAAGCTGCGTATATCTTGCGGCTCCATTTGTATACCATGGAATCAACCTGTCCTTGATGGTAACGTACACAGAGTCCATAAGTAGCAAGACGTTGGAGCTGAGGCCGTAGAATTGTAGGATCAGGAAGTTGCCTTGACATCTCGTCTATGATTGCGTTCATAGTACTCACGGACCAAGAAGCTATGCATATTTGGCACTTGCGACGCTTGGAGGGGGCGTAACCAACGCAGCGGCCATCTCTACAAAGCTCTAGGACGTCTCTTGGGTACCATTGCTGACGGTTACGTGTGTTCGAGTCAACAAAAGGGTGTCTGGAAATGTTCATAGTCATTGTGACGAGAACTTAGAGAAAATATGTTAACGTAATGAGTAAATGATTTGCAAAGTGTACGACTTCGAGTACCGCAACATCTCTTCAATTATACTCGAAAGTGGCCTCCCTCATACGATCGATCCGACAGCTTGGTTCCTCACTGCCTAGGAGAGCACATTCCTAAGTGAACAGGAAGGTCATGCGATGTGGCTGTGTGCCCAACACATTGAAGGCGAAGCACCAACTTTGCAGCGAACCGAGCCTGGCTTTCTGCCTGCGCGGGATACTTTGGGAGAGTCGATAGTCGAAGGATCATGATTTCCAAACATTGTGGGCTTTAGAACGAGGCTGTGCGCTTCCAAATTAATGCACGCGGTCTAGAATAGTAAGGTAACACAAGATGTTGGTGAGGCTGATGCGGCGTAGTCACCACGCGCCATCACCTGACACATTGAGCGTTTCGATGTCTGCTCGCTCCTATGCGTCTATTGGTCCATTCCTCAGCCGAGACAAGTTTGACAAAACTTTGTTCTGTAATGGCTGCTGGCTCGGCGTGGGGAAATTCTTGGAACTTACGTCGGCTGATAGGGAAACTTCTGTTGCGTAATACTATAGACTTGCACTACGGTACTGCCGCACTTGCTCCATTCCTCATGAGTCCTGTTGCTCGTGTCAGATCCTCTGTGATATCATAGTCCCAAATCCAGTTCATCCTAGTCAATGCGTTTTGCTTGAGTGCTTCAAGATCATCTCCCACACCTTCTCCTTCAAGTTCCCACAGCATGCCTGCTTCGCGACTTGTCTTGACCAGTTTCTGGCTGCGTGGTCTCCTCACCGCGTCATATGCTTGAAAAGCCTTCGTAATGTCGCTTTTTGCATTACATTGAGAAAGTAGTTCACTGAGGATGTAGACGTCCTCGATGCCCATTCCAGCGCCAGCCCCTTGGTGAGGTGTCGAAGCATGGGCTGCATCGCCGACAAGACATAAGAGTGGCTTGGTGGAGTAGTAAGTTGGCGCGGGTGGGTGATCAAAGAGCGCCCAGATATCAGGCTTCTGTAGGTTCTCCATGATGGTGCGCACAGCGGGATTCCAGTGTTTGTAGTCGTTCAACATGTCTTCACGAGACGTCTGCACTACCCATTCTGGCTGGTCCCATGTGGGGCGAGAAGAGAAGGCTACCACTATTGATATCTTAGCCTGAGTGATTGTGAAAACCAGATGAATCGCTTACCGTTAAAGAGTGTTCCGTTCGCGATGGGAAAGGTGAGTACATGACCACGATAACCCATGTAGAGTTGCGGCGTCTCCGGTGTACCCTCGCCCATTATATCGATAGCCTTGGCCATGGGTATTAGTCCACGGTAGGCGTATTTCCCGGAAAAGACGGCTTTTGATTCCATGGAGTCGCCGAGCAGTATAGATCGCGTGCGCGATTTGATTCCATCGCATCCCAGTACAGCGTCATGCAGCACCTTTGATCCATCAGTGAAATGAAGAATCACCCTTCCTGAATCATCCTCTGTTTCTGTGATGTTTTGCAATCTCTTTCTGAATTGCGTAATACCCTCCGGCAGCAACTTGACTAATTCATCCAAGAAGTGCGCTCGGTGCACCCCGCCTCGAGGGCCTGTCCTTGCTGGCATGACGAAGACCTCCTCCCCCGATCTAACATCCTTCTTCCGCTCGTCGCCAATCCTTACAGTAAACCACCGTGGAGGTTCCGTCGCCGTATTCCCTTTGCTGCATTTCTCAAATGCAGCTGCGATGCGTGGGTCGATTAGTCCCATGGTGCGAACCATGACGGGTTCAAAACCAACCCCTGCACCTATCTCCCCGAACGTTTTCGCAGACTCATATAGTGTAACATGAATGTGTGGGCATTTTTCTAGCATCGCGATGGCCAGCGTGAGTCCTGCTATGCCACCCCCGACCACCGCAATGCTGAGGGGATCCGCTGCGGCCGCCATGATGCCCGACTGGAAAAATTCCTTGCGTGATGGTACGATGATGTGATGCTCGATGCGAAAGACCAATCGGACCAAAATCTAAGGATATTGGTGAGTGATGTCTCCTTTTGCCACTTGTCTTTGCACTATTAGAAACAGGTACGATACTGTAATAGAAGGGCCTATGAAAAAGTTATCATGCCACCGGGAGTAAACGCTTAGGCGCGATATTGGGCACCCTGCCATATGCAGCACACTCTCCCTGTAACTGTCTAACTGGGTGGGGATCTAGAAACGATGCGCTAAATTTTAGTGCTGCTCCTGACAGGCATTAGTATATCCCGGCTACTGCACCCAGGTACTGATCAGACCCGAGTGGTGGATTTTCAGGTTATGAGAGTCATGGCTAGAATAACTTGGGTGCTTGTGTGAGATCCGATACGCTTGTAACACGAGAGCATGCAGTGTGTATCTATTATTGTTATCTTTTTGTTCTCTAGAATGTAGCGCTCGACATTACTCTCTGACGACCTTGACGTCAGTAGTGACAGTGATGCCCTCGAAAACTAGGTCCTCACTTCCGCTCTCACTACTTCGAGGCCGGCTCGTCGTAATGTGTGCTACTGTTTTTTTGCCCTCCATGATGTGTTCCTGGCTCTCGCTAGGGCTGATGTCTGCATACGTGTCTGGCCGCCCCCTGCTCCCACTCTTGACGTTGCCCATGACGTAGGAACGGGAGGTGTCCGTTCCTCCTGGTCCCCTTGCTGCACTGAGAGCATTGCCTGTAGGTCTGCTGTTACCATACTGCTGATATCCACTGCTTGCCCCCCTGGTGCTCCTCCATTTCCTGGGCCACAACGCCGCGATGGTTTTGCGCAGACTGATCAGACATGCGCAGATGACGCCAGTCGCAGCTTCTATGAAGCTCCATAGATTTGTTGGAGCAGACTCCCAGGTGGGGTCCTTGGTTCTGAGGGTCAACGGCAGCGTTCCCATGCGAAGAGCGGTCGTTAAGCAGATGAAGAAACCCATGGAGAAGAGGACTACAAGGCCAACTCGGGAGCCTAGAGACATGTTAAGGCGTACGATGACTGGCATTGGAAGGACGAAGATTGCGATGTCGGTGATGAGATTTGTGATTGCGTTGGACCAACTGCGAAGACAGTCAGCACTGGTCATACATACGTCTGGTGTAGTCCTTACCGGTGTCCAAAGAAGCTGATACATGTTCCTGGTATTGAACGATCGTACACGCGGGCTATCGGTGTACATTGGAAGATTACAACGAATATGTATGATATCGTCCAGGCTACTGATATTGCACCGAAAATCTTGCAGATCAGTCGGAAGCGGGGCATGGGGAATACGCGATAGTACAAGGCAATGAAAGCCATTTTGTTGAAGCCGTTCGTCAGAGTGTAGAAGACTTGCGTGAGCCAGAAGAACTGTAGACAGACTGTCAGCTGGTTGTCTGAGTCATTACATCCACTTCACTGACCTTGATTGCCTTCTTAAAGTCACCACCAGACTTTTTTATGTCGGCACCCTTCAATCCAAATCCATAGATTGTAGCCATATAGACGCATATGGCGAAGGCTATCAGCCACATCTGTCTTCTGTCAGTGTCTGTCCGCAGAACTCGCACTCGAACACTTACGTTTGCTGTAATGACCAGTGCATCTTCGATTCCCAACCAGCCTCTATTCTTGAATGTGATGGACAGGCGACATATCAAGAGAATGGTGGCGATGGAGGTCAAGGTTACAGTAACCCATCGCAAGTCATGTTGTTCACCCGGATAGGCGCTGTACATTCTCGTTTGAGCGGTGAAGTCTCACAGGCAGCCGAACCAAAAGCATGCGGAGATCGACCGAGCATCTAGTCATTCAGGTAGACTTATAGCAGATCCCTTGCTTCTCATTGACAGTTGTGCTCGAAATGCCCAGCGTTTTGTCTCCACGGATGATAATATCTAGTTTGGGCTGTACCGGTCTGTGCATAGACTTCCTCATTCCACTATGCATGACAAGGCATATACACTTATTTATGTAGCATAGCCTCTTCACAGATGGAACTACGGCTTGCGCTTCAGGTTCCGCAATGCACTATCCCCATCGCAATACATGCCTGGTACACGCCCAAAACCGGACCGTTTCTTACATTGAAATCCTTCTAATGACTGTGCAGCAAAGGACCAAATTTTTCTAACAAATGGAACACTGAGGAGCCAATGATGATTTCCGGGTGGCATCCTTCCGTATGTAGGTACCCACTATGGCTGGATGCTGAAGGATCACCTTACTGGAATGGAAGACTTGAAAGAAAGGCCGAGCGGCCTTATATCATCTTGGCCGCATCGCTTGCTGTGGGTTTCGCATAGGGTTCTGGAGTACGGAGCGGAAAGCATTCTCTATTTCGCCGAATACGAGATTGCGCAGCAGCACCCTTGCACCCGCACGGTGGTGTCGTTTGGTTCTGCACAAGGAGAGCCTTGTGGCGCTCCCGCCATTACCCAGTGAGATCTATGACAAAAAAGATTTCAGTTATGCTTCCATGTCGCCTATAAGAATCCTATAGGAGCAGACAAGCTCATGGTGGCGTACTGTAGGCGGAGAATTTCAGGCGGACGGAAGAATAGTAAGTTTAACTACTGTTACACCTTTTGCCCGGGCCGTCGCGTGGGGATGAACAAGCCGCCCCGGCGGGATGGGACATTTCTGCTCCGACCCGCGATTTTGGCGTTTACCAAGACAAGGCGCTACACTATTGACAGCCATACACGATATACCGTATTTCTACCGAAGGTAATTGGCGAATGAGCCGCTGGGTCGGGTACTGATCGTAAATCAGCATGATAGACGGAGGTCCAGGCCTTGAAGCATCTGGTGCCGAACCCTGAAGAGCTCGGCAGCGAGAAAAGTGGCTCGTTATTACACCACCAACGAATGAGCGACTGGCAGGCTAATGCGGTGAGCGATCCGTAGCATGGTTAGTTGTCGAATCTCCTTGCGGCACACCCAAATATCACCCCATCTTTTGAACGCTTGGGGGTACTTCGGTGCTTCTAGAACAGCAAGACCATCTCAATCCAAACCGTTCGCCGTTGGTATCTCGCTTGGAGATTTTACCTCAGTTTTTCTCCTGCACACGGCTAAATGCCATGTGTTTGGGGTTGGCCATTATCTTCTGCAGTCGCCCCTGTCCTTGCTTGCATTGCAGGCCTACTGGTTACTCAAGACACAGTACTGTGCAGCTATAATCCACGGCCTTACCCCGCCTAACCTCTGCACTCACCATCTACAATGGCCGAACCCAGCTCAATCGAAAAGGGCGCCTACGTCCAGGGCTCATCCGTGTCTTCGCCTGGTTCGACAACCGAAGAAGTCTCTTTTGATCCCGCTGCTGAGCGCAAACTGTTGCGAAAGCTCGACATCAGGATCTTGCCTGTACTATGGATCCTCTATCTTGTCAATTTCATCGACCGGTAGGATCTCTCTCTAATCTCTCACCTGCAAAACTAACTCAATTCTCCAGTGCAAACATTGGAAATGCGAAAATTGCGGGCATGGAGAAGGAGCTGAACCTCATCGGCCAGCGCTTCAACATCTGCGTGTGGGTCTTCAACCTTGGCTACCTTGTTGCTGGTATTCCGCTACAAATTGCGTTCAAGCATTATGGGCCAAAATCCCTCTGTGTCATGATGTTCTTTTGGGGTATCACAGTCATCGGACAGGGAAATGTCAAGCGATGGGAAGAAATGGTTGTTTGCCGTCTGCTCACTGGCTTCGCTGAAGCGGCCTTTATCTCTGGCTGCGCCTATCTGATCGGCGCATACTACTCCAAGCGCGAGTATCTTACGCGTTATGTCTACTTCCTTACGGCCGGTATCATTGCCGGTGCTATTAACGGATTTCTCTCGTCGCTGATCTCAAAGATGAGCGGTACTGCTGGCTATGCCGCATGGCGATGGTAAGTCAACTTTGCGCATGCTTTTGAGCGGCAGTTGCTAACTCGAGAAAGGATTTTCATCATCGAGGGTTGCATTACAGTCTTCATCAGCATCATCACCTGGCCATTTATCCCCCCGTTCCCAGAAGACTGCAACTTCTTGACTCCTGACGAAAAGGCTCTTATGCTTGCACGAGTGAAAGCTGATGGAGGCCATGTGTCTGACGATGAAATCACACTCAAGAAGGCTCTCGAGTACCTGAAAGACTGGAAGATTTGGACTGGGTAAGCAAATCTCGTTCAGTCGCTTGAACGCCAATACTGACAAATCGACAGTGTCGCAATGAACCTCGGAGTTACAGAAAACGCAAACTCGCTCGCTAACTTCCAACCGACTATCCTCAAAGGCCTCGGCTACACTGCTATCCAAGCTCAAGTTCACACCATCCCCGTATACCTGGTCGGTGCTGCCTTCTCCGTCATCTTCGCATATGCAAGTGAGCGTCTGCAGCGCCGCTACCTTTTCTACATCTTTGGCTGGGCGGTTCTCGCAATAGGCCTCATCGTTGAAATTGCCCACCCGCCAAACCCCAAGGTACGATACATGGGCATGTTTTTCATAGCATGCGGCTGCTACCTCGCCATGCCCATCTCCATCATCTGGGTCTCTATGAACTGCGGCAGCGGCTACAAGCGCGCTGTGGCCATCGCAGCAATCATCAACTTTGGCACCGCCGGCGCCTTCGTCAGCTCCAACGTTTTCCTTTTCAAGGAAGCCCCCCGGTTCCGCACTGGTTTCAGCACTGGTCTCGGTCTAGCCTGCATGGGTGCCATTGCCGCGACCATAACCTGGTACGGCTGTAAGAAAGAGAACAAGAAGCGCGACCAAAAGAGGCTTGAGTTGCCCGAGGTCTTGGATCAGAGCATGAAGGAGCTTGGCGATGAGCACCCAGACTTCCGCTTTGCATTGTAGACAGTTTTTCCAGAAATCAGTGTAGCTGGCTACTTATCATTAGACAATTACTACCGCTCACTGCGGCAACATAACATAATAGACCTAGAATAGAACATAT